CTCCTCAATCAGTTAGCTTTTGAAAATTAATGAACCTGTAGTTATCCACTCATGCTGCTGAATGACCTGTTTTTATTGTACGCTGAGGTGCAATAAAATAAAAAAAAGGCGATACTGTGAAGGAAAATGCAGAGGCCTTATTTGAATGCATAACCAAGTTTGTTTACTTTGTAAGAACAATAACAATGTAATGAATGTCTGGTGCAGAGTTAAGTACATCCTTGTGCACATTTGATTTATGTGATCGTTTCTGGATGTTAACCATTGTTAACATAACCTCCATCATTTTTATATTCATGCTGCCTGTGGGCACGTGCTAGCGTAGCAATGTGAAAGAAATCTGAAAGAAAACTGGTAGCAGTTCCTAGTGCAGGAAACCTCTTTCCCTGAAATAACAGAGGTTGGGGTGTAGCGAGCTGTAGATCATGTTCAGGCGAGCAGATCTGTGTAACTGGAGGAACTTTGTTAGGGGAGAGAAGGCAACCATTGATTCCTGTAGCTTATTAACCTCTTGAGGGCCATGTGCAGTATCCAGACATCATCCATGGTCTGATAGTGTGTATATGTGATGTGGCTATAGAATTGCCTAAAGAAAAATGCAACCACTTTTGCTGCCTGCTAAAAACACATCAGGAGGTATGCTGTCAGCTCAGGCCGCCTGTGTTTTTGAAGGCAGAAGTTAAGCTTCGTGAGGAGTGCCTATACTGACACTTCTGTAAATATGTATGTAATTCATACAATATGTCTATGTAATTCATGCAATAACTTTGTTCAGTATACAGAGAAGGGTTTCTCCACCCACTGTGCTAGGCAGTAACTCCAACAGGATATGAGAATGGGCATCTTCTAAGAGATACAGATGATGCTTTTTTTAGGTAGACAAAACATTCAGAAGTTGCTACAGTGATTAAAGATAAACACAGTTCTCAAGGGAAGTTTTATGGGTATAAACAAAAGACATTCTTGTTTGTCTTTCACATTCATTTCAAAATTGCACATAATTACTAAATCCCATGTGAGCCTTGCAGCTTGTGTTCTTTAACTAGATAATATAGCATATGTTTTAGTACCCAAAGTTCTGCAGTTGAAGTTCAGTGATATCTGTAATATTTTTGATTCATTTACTCGTAATTCAATTTAACCTAATTAGAAATAGCTATCAATAACTCTGTATGTTTCAATGTCACTGTATGACTTAGATCCGGTGTCATCAGTGAAATTTTATATTTACAATTTAAATTGAAATTTACAGTTGTCAATAAAGAAGTGGTATGTTCTGTGTGTTACTAGAAGTCATTCATGTAAACCCTTAATTTCATCTTAAAACTGCATCCTGATCTGTGTCAGCTGGTGGATCCCATATGCTAGGAATGGCTCTTCGCTGCTGGGAGATTCAGGTGCAGTTGCTGAGCTGAGGACAGAATTTAGGCATTCATTCTCAGCTGCTTCACCTTCTGCTCTTTTAATCATCCTTTTTATTTCAACTTCATATGGCTGTGCTTTTCTTTTTTGTTTGACACTGATCTTGGGAGGGGAAAGAGAAAATGCTGATGAGATTATAATAGTTTGGGGAGTGTTGTGCTCCGAGAGGGGAAGAGTCTTACTCCAATTTTATGCAAGACACCATCATAATAAGGTACATTATTGTAGATGGCATAGTAGTCTGTTGTGGGTGTCCTGGTTTCAGCTGGGATGGAGTTAACTGTCTTCCTAGTGGCTGGTATGGTGCTATGTTTTGAGTTCAGTATGAGAAGAATGTTGATAACACTGATGTTTTCAGTTGTTGCTCAGTAGTGTTTAGACTAGAGTCAAGGATTTTTCAGCTTCTCATGGCCAGTCAGGGCACCTGACCCAAACTGGCCAACAGTGTATTCCATAGCATGTGACGTCCCATCTAGTTTAGGAACGGGGAAGGGGGGGGGGGAATCGCCGCTCGGGGACTGGCTGGGTGTCGGTCGGCGGGTGGTGAGCAATTGCCCTGTGCATCATTTGTACATTCCAATCCTTTTATTACTACTGTTGTCATTTTATTAGTGTTATCATTATCATTACTAGTTTCTTCTTTTCTGTTCTATTAACCCATTCTTATCTCAACCCAGGAGTTTTACTTCTTTTCCTGATTTTCTCCCCCATCCCACTGGATGGGAGGGGGAGTGAGTGAGCGGCTGCGTGGTGCTTAGTTGCTGGCTGGGGTTAAACCACGACAGTGGGTCATAGCAATCATCTGATAAGTCCTGTGATTCATAGACAAATCAACTATTACTGAAATGACCCAACAGATGTGATTTTAACATGATACCCTTTAAGTCAACATCCAGAGTTTGCATGTGGATAGCCTGCAGTGTGGGATTTGGGCTGTTCTGTCAAAAGCCCAATTTTGCAAATACCTTTCCTACTGTTCTTTATCAGTATTATGAACTCCTTCACTTATGAATGAAACAGATTATTGTTGGGAAATCTTTTTTGCATAATATATCGCAATACAGTGCTCATCTGAAGCAGCAAGTCATGTTTCAGAGGCGCTATCTGCCGATGATGAAATTTCAGTTGAGACCTGTGACAACCATACAGAGCAATGTGACAAAGCAGTGGCAACAAGTTTGATGGTTCAATTCAGAAAATATGTTTCACAACAACAAATTACTTATTTCTACCTGATGTGTTTGTGGTTTGGTTAATTATTTGTGCTACTGAAATAATCTGGTAATCCAAAAGATAAAATAACCACTTCATAATCCAACGTGTGGCTGCTTGTTGGGACTTGGGCCAAACTTTGACCTTCAGATCATCCACAGCAACTCTACGTGTGAATTTTAGACAGTTTAGGGAACATAGGTGGTAATTTCAGTCATCTGTCTTAAACTGAAAAAAACAGATATTAACTTAGATAAAAAATTAGTTGGAACAACTACTCATTTTTAACGTACAAAAGGGAAGTTTTCTGTACTTTAAAATTTAAACTTGTCACTTGAAAGCAGTGACAGTTTGGGGGCAAAGATGGAGTTAGCAGAGTTGGGAAGTCAAGAAACAGCTGACACAAGTTTAAAAAGTGAATTAATTTTGAGAGTGTTTTGTTATCGAGGAATTAAACTGAATGTCAGCCACTTCTTAGCAGCACTATATAAATGAAATGTGAAAACAAGTCTACCAGTTCCTCCACATGTCGCTGTCACTGGGTAACTGTTAGCACCTACATTAGTCACTCCTTCAACAGGCCATGAAATTGTACCAGCTTTTAAAATGTGTGAGAGAATTAAGGCAGGTGCTGGCACACCATAAATGAAAATCTAACCTTCAGGCTGGTACAGTAGTGACATTGTTACTGTTTGCATTCTTGAAAACACATGGCTTGTCAAGTTACAGTAAAATTGTTTTGTGCTTTTATATATTAAAACTCAGTGGGGTGTTTGGGCTGCCCAGGAGAAGGGTGAGACTTACAGGTGTAACTAAATATATTAATTATTGATACTCAGTGTGTAAGTATGTATTTTTTGTTGTTGTTACTGACTTTGTGTCACTCAATAGTTGTTGGATTACTTAAGGAAGAAACTTGCTCCGGAAGGTGCTCACACATCTGCTGTTGGACATGTTAGAACCATCTATCATCCAAAAAAACCTTAATGACTTCTCTGAAAAACCTCTCAGAATAATAATACTCATAAAACAGCATACAAAGTCATATTTTAGTTTCACAGCAGAACAAAAATGCTCAGCATTTTTTCATAAAAAGAAATAGCAGAATAGAGAGAGTCATCTTCAGTCCATGGATATTTTTCCTGAGCTCTTATTTAAACCTGAAATCCAGTTAATTGCTATGCAGCTTCTCATCTCAAGCAATCATTACTGTTCCCTAGAAGGAATCTTAATCTTCAGTTTCTTACAAGGTTCCTCTTACAAATAAAACTGTGTTGAATCTTAATGCCTTTGAACTGAATGTCCAGTTTCTGTCTTTGCTTTTTCCAAAACTTATACCAGACTGCAAAATGAAAACATCACGACTGTACAAGGTTCTGTTAAAAGTTCAAATGAAATTACCTAAGTCATTATCAGTTTTAGGAAGCCTGCATATTTTTCTTACTAACAATAAGGTAATTTAATTACTTTAATTACTGATTTAATCACTGTATAAAAACTGCCTTGGTTTTTGTGTCACATTTAGCCCTATATGAAAATCTCCTAATACAGCATTAGGGAATTAGAATTATCCTGGTACTGAGTGAAACGAACATATTCTGTTGTGTAAGCAGAAATGTATGTATTGCCTGAATATACTTGCTTTCCTAATTGTAGAACTAAAATATTGTCTTCATTTATAATTTGCCTTAATATGTAGGAAGGACAGCAGACAATACAATAGGATTATTAACCTATTCTTACTTCTTTCTCTCTTTTCTCTCATTTTCCAAAAGTGGGTCATACAGTTGTGCTTTCAAACTCTATTTTGAGGTCTCTTTTGGTGTCCCTGTCTTGGTTTTATATCCAAGATCACCTTGTATGCTAGTGCTATGCAATTTGAATATATATTCCAGTGACATTCCTGTGAGGTAGCAAGGTAATGCTATTTTCAATTGTATGTACAGTTAGGGAACAGAGGCACAGAAGAGTAAGAGCAGCTTTCCCATACCTAACTCTGCCTAGTCATTTAGGCTGTCTCTAGATATATATGTATCACCCCCCTCTGTGATTTATATATCACCCCTCCCCAGTGACAGTCTGGATCACATTAAAGTCTGTGGCAGGCAGTGTACTGAACTCAGATCTTCCAAGTCCTACATTAGTACTCTTTTACTGGAACGTATTTCCTTTCTGAAATGAACACATGTATTATGCTGAAGTATAGGGATTTGAATACTGCTCCTTCATGTGGATTGGCAAGAAGCGTGAACTCTATGTTTTTTGTATCATTATTTTAAGGTTTTTGCTATTTCTCTTATTAAATAATTGAGAATGTCATCCTTCATCTTGGGTTTCATGGTTTCTATACTGATTGGTTTTCACAGATACTACGCTCTCAGGGGAAATTGGCACCAAGAAAAAAGTGAAAAGACTGTTAAGTTTCCAGAGGTATTTCCATGCGTCCCGGTTACTGCGTGGAATTGTACCACAAGCCTCTCTGTACCTACTGGATGAGGACTACCTTGGGCAAGCAAGGGTAAGACGGGTCTCCAGATCTCCATTTCCTTTACTAATATTCCAGAGAGTGGCAGTTTTGTTTCAGTCTTCAGATAAAGCAATGTATGGCTGATCTTTCTTAAATGACCCACGTTATTTGCCTGCCTCACAGCAAACAGACTGTCCATTCCTCTTTTATGGTTACAGCTTTAAAGGCTTAGTCTCAAAGCAACGAGAAAATGTCTAAGTCCATTCAGCATTTTCAGATTCTGTCAACTGAAATTATAATCTGGATTTATTAAAGGATGAAGGATCCCTGGCTGAGTTACTGATTGAAGTAAGTGTAGCCTCGATACAGGATTTAGTTCATCCGCTTGAAAAAAGACAGCTGTCTCTCAACTGGTATGGAGCAGCTATTAGGCAACTCACAATAGCTCTTCCTAGCAAAGGCTAGGAAGCAGGGAACATTCACTACAAAGAACTTCACAATAATCAAAATATAATTCTCTTATTTTGCAGCTCTTATACTTGCTTTGGCTGATATTTTCTAACAAAAGTTGCACAACTGGTGGCATTGGGATCATGTGCCTAGGCAATTTTTATTCTCTGCAAGAGAAGATTACGTGCTGGGTGTTGGAAAGTAATTAAGAATCGAGAACTGGTTTGAATACAGACTAACTAAGGGGAGTGAACACACATTTCATTCACACATATGCCATTGTAGGTCATACAGTTAGTCCAGACTCAGTCTCTTGACTGAACTGATGTAGCTGTAAAAACACTGGGTATGGTGGTAATGATAGATTCTTTTTGTGGCTTAGCGGGCTTCACAGAAGCACTGTGCCTAAGTTTATAAAAGCTATTCCTGTGTATTGGTTTGTTTAGCAAAATGTAATTCATATTCACCATAAGAGCTAAGATTGTGTTTTACTGTAATAAAAACCTAAGAGAATTTGTACTGAATTGATTTGGGGACATGAAAGGACAATAAAAAAGTTCTGCAGTAGAAGGGAATGTTTTCATAATATTTTGTTTTATATTATTCCATGTTTTGAGCTCCATTTAGAAGGTATTTTTAGTGTCAAGTTCGAAACCTCCTCAGTTAAAGTGCAAATGGTATTCTATACAGTGTAGCTAAATTTGGTTCTTGATGTCTGATATTTCAAATACGTCTCTATAGCTTTCCCAAACAAAACTTTAAAGCTGCAGCAATCAATCCAGTGATGGATTAATGTGGAATAATAATTTAAATTTGCTTTAGTTTGACATACCAGTCATTTGCCTTTTCATATTTGTTTTTTCTAGCATATGCTATCCAAAGTGGGAATGTGGGATTTTGACATTTTCTTGTTTGACCGCTTGACAAATGGTAAGTGATTTTTTAAAAGTTTTTATTTTACTATCTCTCATATATGACTATTCTAAAAAAAACTAATTAATTAATTGCTAAAAGTTTCCAGTTTAGGTTACTGAAAATCTGGACACAGTTAACTTCTCTTAAAATCATATCCTTGAACATTTTCCTGAACTATAGGATAATGTTTAAAGTATGGTTTTGTATTAATCTAATCTTCTACATTTGTTATGGTCACCTTTTCAAGGAGGTGTTTCAGTTTGCTTTACCTGGGAAATTTTAAAGGTACTTTAAGTATACCTATTAGATACACTGGTCTGTAAGTCCAGACCTCCATAATCTGTCACTTTCTATCAACATGAAATACCTTTAACTGAAGATACCCTTGCTTCTGTTCAGTAGCAAAAATTAGGAAATTCATTAGGATGGTAAAAATCTGTGAAATATTTTGTCTAAATGTATACCTGTAACTCCACACACACCTCCAGTGCCTAGGCAATACCTCTCGACCAGGTAACTGCCAAAGAGTGTTGTGATCACACCTTTCTCCTTTCTGTATTGCTCATAGGAATGAGATCCCTTGTTCTTCACCCCCGGTCTAATTAGGTTTGGCTGGGGCAGAAGGTGTAGAAAAACGTTGGTTTGGAGGGTAATTCAGCTGAGTGACTGGCAGTGAAGAGTGGAAAGGACTGCAAATGGCAAGGGAAGCAGAAGCATAATTCTTCTAACTTACCTTTCTGCGCCCCTGCTCAGTAGTCAAGGCCAAATAAGTTTCCATGTCCTCTTCGGACATATTTTTATTTTCTTTCCTGAGTTACATTAAATAAGAAAAGACTCCCTTCAAACATTGTTTATATCTTGTATGGGTTGGTTGGTTTGTTTGGTTTTTTTTTTCTAACTTTTCTGGAAACATTGCTGCTGAATTATGCAGTGCAAACTTTTTAAAATACTCTGTGTATGTATAGTTGATCGTATAATACTGGTTAGGCTCAATTTTGCCAGTGTTCCCAGTATTGGATTCACAGTAAGGCCAACATAACATTACAGTGGGACTTGAGACCATAAATGCTGCACCTCATTTTTCCTGTCTGCATTGTCATTATGAGATGCAGTTGTAGCTGAGCTAGATACGTGGGTTAATTACATGTTTGTACAGCCATGTGTAAAATACAAAATTTAATTACAAATGGCTGATTTCTCAGTAATTAATTAATTAGTACAGTATGGCAAACTGAAGTGGCAGAAAAGCCATTCTCCTTTCTGTCATTTCTGGAGGTAGACCTGGATTATGAAGATGATGTGGTTCTCAGACAAGCCTGTCAAAAGATTTCCAGTTAAAGCCATATCAATTCACCTTCTGTGTCATGTTGAAATGGCAAATGTGACTTCATGGCGTCAAGACACAGGAATGGCACTCCACACAGCCGTACCATCAAATCTTGATTATATACAGGAGTGATTTATATAGGCTACTTTTGAGTATACGAGTGTCATCTAAGCTCGTATGGTAGGAGCTAAGGTGATAGGAGCTGACTGATAGGAAATTACTGAGATTTTTAGTCTTGCTCGGTTTGTAACTACATGTCAAGGGAATCTAAGAGTTGTTCCTTTCTGCTTTTAGGAAACAGTCTCGTAACACTGCTTTGTCACCTCTTCAATGTGCATGGACTTATTCACCATTTCCAGTTAGATATGGTTACATTACACAGGTTTTTAGGTAAGTGCTCACCTCAAAGCCATCTTTAAATGCAGTTTACAGCTTAAGTAGGGCATCAGAGAAGGCACTGGCTTGGTCTGCATATCTATGTAAAATCATGATGTTGTTGCAAATATTTCAGTAAAACATTTCTGTGATATATATTAGCATACAATTTACAGGCACTCGGGTACTTGGTTCAGTACCTATTAAGTCAATGGAGGGACTTCAAAAGTCTCTGCATTGTGCTGAAGCATCCCAGTACCACAACTGCACTGGTGATTTAAAAAAAAAGTATGTCACGCAGAGATGTCGCCAGCCAAGTAGGCCCACACAGACAGACAGACATTGCAGAACCTACCCATGCACAGTACAATTGTGGTGCAGTGTAATTATTTTAGTGAGTAATAGACCACTGAGACCCAGGGCAGTTAAAAGCTTATGTGCAAAATTTAACAAATTATATCAAGCTGTCTGCGCTGAATAGTGTTGATGAAAGCCCCTGCTGCTGTTACTGCCAACAGAAGTATTAGCCCCATGCTGTCAGTGAACCAAAAGAAGAAATTGGCCAAAATCAATTACTTTTTGCATCATGTTTTGAATGCAGCTGAATGCCGGGTTGTTAGGCTGTCAGGCGGAGTTTCCAAGGCAGGGTCTCTTCTTTAAGAGTGCCTAATTGTCGCGTCTGGAAAGCATTCTTACGGTGTGGAGACAGACAAAATCTCCCCGAAATCTCCCCACCGTTTCTAGCTCCTGCGGGCAGCCATGAAGTGGACGCTCAGATAATTGGAGCTAGTGGTACTCAGGGTTTAAAGGATTACCCGCTGTAACTCCAGATGCTTGTGGAGCTGGAAACGAACTGAAGGCTAGGACTTTCTTTGGCGTTCCCCACGCTGGTGACAAGTGCCATGGGAAATTTGCCCATTACCTTTCTGTTTGATTGATTTGATAGTGTCTAGGAGAGCGCTTTGGGCAAGATCGAGGGCAGCTTCCAGTGTCCACATGGTGTTGCCCTGAGACCACCTAATGGTGCAGGCACTGCTGCAAGGAACAGATGAGTGTGAAGCACGCACCTCGATGATTTTCTGTGCGAGTGAAAGCTGAGAGTTAGAAGGTTGGTGCTCCTGGTCCAGCTGGACCAGTTCCAGCACTGCAAACTAAAACAAGAGGGACTGGTATTTTGAAATGAACACACAGATGTGACTAAATTTATCACAGACGATTTTGCTCTGAATACCCCAATGCTGTATCTTTTGATCTCTGCCTGGAGGATGTAGGAATGCCTTTGACGGTAGTTAGTCACTCAAATAACAAATGATGCCAGGATATCAAGGCCTCACCCCCTGCTGCTGTAAAATAGGTGGTACTGCCTTAATGACATATTACTCCCCTATGACAGCAGCCTAAATAATTACACTCCGTTGTGGATAAATTTGCCTCTCTTCCTTATTTATTTTACTCCTGAATGAGAGCCTTCACTAAGGCAAGAAAGAGTTGATTTATGAACTAGACCCAGTATATCCCCTTGGGCCTCACAAATCCTTTCATGCATTTTTTTCTCTAAAGGTATCCCAATAAGAGCACCAGTCTAAGTAAACTACAGCTATTTGAAGAAATTCCTTAGGCAGCTGTCTGTAAAACCTCAGATTGTATTTTAAATCCAGTTCCCACTTGTGGCCATGGCATTCAGAGACAAAAGGATCTTTGTTTTCTGTTTTGGTTCCCAGTTATGGTTCAAGAAGATTACCATAGCCAAAACCCATACCACAATGCTGTCCATGCTGCTGATGTCACACAAGCTATGCACTGCTATCTGAGGGAGCCCAAGGTAATGACAACCTTTCACACTGATGTTGCTTTCAGATAATTCTCAAATTTTTTTTCCCAGGATTGAAAAAAAAAAAAAAAGGCTATTTTTAGATAGCGGAAAATGATTGCTTGCTTGAAGTCAGCAATGAATCGGTAGCAGAGTCAGCTACAGATTACAGACATTTCAAACAAGCTAGCGGAGTCACTTCTCATCACGCAGACGACGTATCAAAGTGCTGTCGTATGAGCTCCAGCTACCATGACCGTGTGTACCAGCCACCCGCCAGTGGCAGCCGTCCTCCCATCAAAGCCAGCAGAAGGCAACGCGTGCCCGTGCCTCGGTCACCTCGGGGCATAAGCCCCTCACATCAATATTTCAAAATACCAAGTTATGCAGTGCAACACCAGAAAAGGGGAAACTGGTCCCTTGGACTGGGTCTGTTGGCAGGGTCTCCTCTGCGCCAGCCAACAGCAGCTTTTGACTGCTGGAGCAAGCCCTCGGCATGAGGGTGTGATGTTGCCTTATGCATTACTGGAAGGAAGGCACTGTAATGTTGTAATGCTGAGCCACAGTGTAAGAATATAAGTAATCTTTCCTGGGTTGACTTAAATGAAAGGAAGTTCTGCTAGAATTAGCAAATTGTTAGACCAGAATATAGCAATGGTAGGTGAGGACAGGAGCAGGCCCCAGCTTTCCTGTATTTCCATCTCCTGCAAGATCTGCAAGTCCCTTCTGTTTGGAAGTGAGGAGGACAGCCAGCATCCAGAATCCATACCATACTGCTCTTCATTTCTCATCTCAGGATGCTTCTCTCAGCTCATAGACCTGTACCCTGTTGGGCTGGTGATAACTACCTCACTCTCAGAAATAGAAAATGCTAAGAATTCCTATTTTTTTTCCAGTGATAACAAAATTTGCTTCTGAATGATAAGCTGTAAAGAATTAAAAAATCTGGGCAGGTTTTCAGACTTGGATGTCTGAAGTTAGAAAGGGAAATTATGCTCTCTAATAAAACACCTATATTTGAACTGAGATATCTAACAGCCAAGTTTGAAATTTCAAAAGTTTATAAACTCTGCATTTTACAACACAGTGCTGTGCTAGAAAAATGAAGCCTGATGTATTGTTGGTATTACTAACTACTGTGTGAAGCAGAGCTCTTATTGTGTATGCTAATGTATGCCAACCTGCTAGTATACTTACTTACTTTTTTAAACTGAATCTTTTAGACTCTGCTCAAGCATTTCTGTAACAACAATCCTTATATTGCCATGAATGATGAAGAGATAAGAAATACAAACTGTAATAAAATATGAGTAAATAGTCTGATATCTTTATAGATGTTTGTTCAATAGTCACCTTAAAAATGTTGTTCACATTATTTATTTTGTATTTGACATTTGTGTACAAATGCCTACAAAACTGAGCAATGCCATGATGTCAGCTGGTTTGTTTATTTGCCAAAAGAAAAAAAAAAGTGTTTACTGTTCATGTTCTTGTTGTGATTAACGCATGTGATTCAGCTTGCCAACTTCCTCACCCCATCGGACATCATGCTCGGACTGCTAGCTGCTGCAGCTCATGACGTGGATCATCCAGGGGTCAACCAACCCTTTCTGATCAAAACTAAACACCACCTTGCCAGCCTGTACCAGGTAAAACTGCTCATCAAGTTGATAATATGTAAAATGGTGTCAAGGAGAGTCTAAGCAATTTGCAGTGAACTTTAATGCCAAAATCTGGCAGCTGGGGGGATGTTGATCAAATCAACCTGCACTTAGAGTCTGGACAACTTCAGTTAAGCTCCTCACTGAGCGTCTCTTCCTACAGCAAAGCTGATGATACACGTGAGAAAGAAGGTGGAAATGTCAGATTTTTTTTGAGGACATTTAAGTCAAATCAGTTGCCTGGGTTATTTCTGCTGTAGATCATCTGGGGTAAGGAACTGTGGGTAGGAGATTTAAAATCACAGTGAGACAATTTGTACTTCATCTTCCTTCAGTGAGCAAGTAAGCAGCAGGCATGTTGTAAATTGGAGTTGCATTAAAAGAAACTTTTGCTTCATGTGGCTCTAGTAAAATTAAACACTTAATGAATACTGCAATTTAAAAAAGAAAAATAGAAGATGGAGGAAACCAAAGGAAAAGTTGTAGATATTTACAGAAATGTGCCTAGAGATAAAAAGAAAGAACTTAAAAACAGCCACTGCAGGTCACACCACAGGCTGTCTAGACCAGTATCCTGTTTCTAAGAGCAGCCAGTAAAAGATCTCAGAGAGAAACATAAGCCTGGGATAGGTATAGAGTTGTCCTTCACCTGGTATACATCCTCCCAGCTCTGGCAAGCAGTAGTAGAAGACTTCCTGAAACAAAAACACAGACCCTCTTGTTCAATAACTACCAATGAAACCATCCTGCCCTGATTTTTATGGTCCTTTTTGAACATATTTGTAGTTCCGGCCCATGGCAACCACTGTAGCTCTGGATTTTATCTACAACTGTCTTATGTTTATAAACTTTGCATGCATGTATACTTCATTATATATGCACATCTCTATTCTTTACATTATACTTAAAGACACATGCCGCCAGAGCAATGATGTAAATCATTTTGGTTGCACTAACTGTAATTCGTAGCTAATAAATGGAGATGATACTGTTTTCTAGCATTTCGAAGAGTCAACTTCAGCCTTTGTAATAAGGGGTCAGAAACAGAATATCCCAAGTTAAAAATTAATCTAACTGAAGAAGACTCACTAATAGCTATGTACCTTTCTACACATACTTAGCAAATCGAGAGTTTGCTGTGATGTGCTTACTACTTGAAAAGAGATTCTTGTTTTCCCCTACTCAAGCAACATTTGGGTTTTCTATAAGAAGTGGATTGTGTAACAGTACAGCTGTCCTGCCCCGAGATAATGGGACGGGCAGGACTGTGGGTGCCCCAGCCAGGGCACAGTGATGCTCAGACACTTCATACTTTGTGACTGGCCTCGTCACAAGCTGATGCAGCTTATTAAGTCATACCCATATGTGTCCGGTGCATTTTGCTCCAGTCTTTTCTAAATGTCAGGCCAGCTGATTGGGGAGGGAGAAAAGCCAGGGACTAAGCCAGGGGACTTTGGGAAGGTTATGTTAAGGATCCTTTGAAGAGGAGTTGCTAGAGCCATTCCACAAAAACCCTTGTCCTATGAAAAGGTATAAACAACTCCTTCTCAAATTAATAGTGGGAAACAGTAATATATAATTAGGTTGAAAATTCAGGCTAATCTGAAAGAAATGTAGCTAAAATAAAATATTAGTATCTTGGAGAGGTGGTTTCTGCTCAGCTAACTGGGCTTGACTGTTCTTTCAAATGTTGGTTAGAAAAGGCAGTGACAATACAGAAAAGGCAATCCTTCAACAGCAAATGTGATTTTTAAGTATCCTGTTTAGGGACATTCACTGGCAAGTTTGACTTACTTACTTATTTCATCTGAAATTGATCCCAGATTGTTTCCAAAGATTTCAGTAGTATACAATACATGGATGCCAATAAAAATAACGATGCTGGAAAAAAGTTGTGCTGAAAACATTTTTAGTCAAAAGTGAATAGTCTTTAAAACAATAAATTATATTCCTCTCAAGATTAGTACTTTAACATGTGCTTGAAACTGAAACAAAAAGGTTCTGGGTTTTTGGTTTTTAAGTAGCAGAGCCACAGAACTGCTGTGGCTAATCAGAAAAATGATCAAACAAAAGTAAGTAAGTAACTTTTAACGTAGCTGGTAGGCATCTGTCACTGAGACAGTAGTAGCTGAGACTAAGGGTTATCTGTTTATGGCGTCTCTTTGCTCTTGATTGTTTGTACATTTAAATTAGAACTTTACATTTGAATTATCTGAAAAAAAGGTTTTACAAAACAAGGTCAGTCAGTTTGACAAAGACGCAAAGTCTGAAGTGTATATATGAGGAGAATCATGTTTCAGGAAGATAGGTGTCATCACCAAGGAGTTCAGAACTTTCAATATTTATTTTCAAGCTAAATCCATATCTTATGATGCAAGACATTTTTTTTGTAATCTAATTTCCACAAGAGTCTATTCCATGTGAGGCACCATAATTTTCCACCAAAAATAATAGTGCCTTATTCAAGTCTCCAGCGTTACAAAGACAGTTGAGAGTGTAGAAGGTGACAGTAGGGATCTGGAGGTCACTTGTTTCTCCTGTGGGGAGCACAACAGCTTTCCTTGTTATGTGATGCAGACTTTGCTTCTAACTTTCACTGGCCATTAAAATGAAAAATAAAAGTTTTATTCTTGCTTGATAATCATTGTCTTAGGTCTCTCTAGTCTTAAAAGTCACAATTAACTCAAATTCTGGTTGATACATATGTCGTATCGAACATTATTTCTGCTTCTTTAGATTGAAAGCAGCATACAATTCAAGGTTGCTCAGCCAGATACAATCCCGCCCTGTAGTTATCCAAAACTCCACATCAAACCTAACACCAGAAAAAGTCATACTGCTTTTTTTTTTTTTAAAAAGAAATTCTATTTTACTGAAAATTATTTACAAATTTCCTAAGAAAACAAATGGCACTGATTTAAATAAAATGTTATCTTTTAACTTCAGTAATAGAGAGTTGAGATCTATCTTTGTCTGGCTCTTAAATGAAGCATAATAATTTAGAAGTCTGGAATGATCACATACAACATCTGTAGTACAAAACAGATTTCAGAAATATATGAAAGAACACTTTACAACTTTAATATAGATGTATATAAACTAGAATTAGGAAAATATGTATTGGGCATCAGTTATGACGGTTCTACTTTGCAGTCTTCCTTAAAAGTACCATTTCTAATTAAAGTATCATTTTCAGGTATTTAACATTGTGTAGTTAAACCAACTGCTCAATAACTAAGAATAGATGACCAGACTGAAAGAAATTTAGATCCCCTTCCACTCCAAATTAAAATTGAAGTTTTTTTCTGCATCTAGTTAATAGCAAATCTTCCTCTCTTCAATTTATTATTCTTTTCCAAATGAGTATGTCAAATGTGGTGGTTTGAATGGCTCAGGGAAAGTCACAGATTGGAGACTTTGTGACAGTCTAAGTAAAAAAAACCAGGGTTTTTCCTCACAGTCCTGAAGTCTGTGTTACAGCAATCCACGAGTTTCAGGCAGTAGGTGTGACAGAGGCTTCCCATCATGCAGCCTTTAAAACAAAGCTGTGCTGGTCAGTTTTAAAAAAAAAAAAAAAAAATGTTAGGGGAAGCAGAGCTGAGAACCTCAGTCTGCAAGCCAGCACATAGACTTTTCCCTGCATGGCTTATCTCCCCACCAGCCTAGGCAATCGGGTAGCTCATGGCAATTAGTCTTAATAAGGCAGTAGAGCATTCCTAGGTGGAATAGCTGACTCTACTAATTGTTGGCAGCAGCTTCAGGGATTCTGGCTGCTTGCATTTAAGAGGGGAGTCATATGACTTCATGTTCAGTTGTTGCTTGTTAACTTGACCTTTCCCTTTTCCTCCTCCATGTACTTTAAGTACAGCAGCTTCCATTTAAGTTCTCCCTATAGCAGCAAGCGAAGAGCAGAAACTTACAGAACCAGAAATACTCTAGAATGGATACCTGAGTTTGCTTTTTCCTTTGAGTAACTATTAGTTGGATGCAAGGAAGTTCTTGGGTGCCTACACGCTCAGCCCTGTTCTGGCTGGCCTTCAGCATGGCCAAAGAGCAACTGCATCCATGGAGGGTAATTCCCCGGTTGAGGTAGGTGCCGCTGAAGCAGCTCCTCCCAGCAAGTAACACTGCCATGCTGGAGGGACGTGGGGGCACAGGGTGCTCTGAGGGGGATCTCCCCACTCAGGATGTTTCAGGGGTCGCAGGAACTGTGCACACAGGCACTGTCTTAAACGACTGTAAGCCTTCCCAAAACCCAAAGGTGATAGTCAGGCAGGGTTTGTCTGATTCACCTTAGGGTGGGAAGGTGGCAGCCTATGGACTTGGGGTGACTGTTGGGACCGGGGTTCAGCTCTGAGACTGGGGAGGTGAAAGAAGCAAAAAAATTTGTTGTTATGTCCCATTACATTCCCTTGTTTTTCTTGGTCAGAGTGTAGGGTTGCAGAAGTCCATCCTGATGTATTTAGGCAAAAGGAGGAGAGATATTTAAGCTGGCTAATGAACAGAATTGCTGTCAAAAGTAATTCAGATATTGCATAGCTGATCCTGAGTTCTGGGTCTGTTAGCTCTTCTAAGGAAAAGGACTTAGTTTTTGCATAGTTGGAAAGTTTTGGGGTTTGTTTTATTTTGGTTTTTTCCCCTGGTATCTGTGATTTCTATTAGGGAAACAAAACAAACAAAAAACCCCACCCCAAAACAACTTGAGAAATACCAAAGCAACGTATCAGTGATTGTGTGAATTCAAAAGCAACAGAATGTACTGCAGAAGATATTGCAACAGGAAAACAACCCAATTTGCACTCTCACCTTTGCACTAAATTTCAAGAAAAATACTGACAAGATGATCAAAATGCAAATTGGAACTTGGTTACTGGCAATGTTTAGCGTCTCAACAGTTGTTAGATATGACAGGATTACAAAGGAGGATGGGGAAGCCTTAAGGAGAAAATACTGTTCAGTCCCTCTTGGAAAGTGGAAGCTGTGCATCACATCCAACAGGAAAGGCAGCACTACTGCAGCTATACCTCAGAGCTGTGGGACTGTGCAGAAGGGAGCCAGAGATTAACAGTGGCTGGAGAAAAGGATTCCAACTCTAGTTTCCCAGTTGGCAGTGACAAGGTGGAGTCCTTGCTCTGCTACCTGCCCAGAAGGTTTGGTTGCGTTTGGGGTTGTTTTTTTTTAATCCAGTGCTCATCTACGGCAAAGCCATAAACTGCCCAAACCAGTCATCAGATGCCATAACTCCCCCAAGAGTGTCTCTATTGCTAGGTGATAGTCCTCTTGTTCACACTGTGCACGCTGTTGGAGAATTGAGAACTGTGCCATTCACTGGAGGGGTGCTCTGCTGGACTGCTGCTCTGCAGCAAGCAGATGCTTTTGTGAATTAGAAGAACTGTGTTAGAGGCTTCTGAACAAATGACATTTCTGAGGTATTCAGTGGTAGAAAGTACTCTGTGAACTAAATGAGTGATGATTGGCAAATGCATTGTGTGTTAGGATAGTAACATAAAGTCATCAGACACAAGACACCCAATTTGTTGTAATTTACGGACAACCTAGAAAGCTGGGTTTCTGTTCTCTAGGAATTTTTTCCGACCTAACTTTGGTTCCACTCAGTTGGAAGCAGACAAACAAAAAGGATGCAAAATTTGTTGCAGACTAAGTTACTGAAGCCTGCAGATGCTCAGTGACACTGATACTCTTCTTGCTTTCACTGAGCAGCTGCAGGCAGCTTCCCGTCCCCTGACTCCAAGGGAAATTTGGCAGTTTAGTTTTCTTTTTCTTGTCCGCTCTGCATTCAGACTGTAGAAGCTGAGAAGTCAACCTGTGATCAGTAGGAGGTAAAAATATGATTTTGCACTCATGCTTTAATTCATTTGTTAATAGAATGCAAGCTACCTCCCACTCAGATGAGATTAGCTCCTCTGTTCACAGCAGGACTCAAAAACTGTAGAACAGGACTCTAGGGCTGCCTTAGCTAGGACATGTAGAAGCACAAGCTCCTTAACCATAGAAATCCAGACCAATTCCTCAAATCCAAAAGGTGGCTAAAAAGCACGCATTTTTGACTCATGTTGCAGGACTTCTAACCAGCTCTAGGCATCATTGATATGGCAAATCTGTATCTGTGCCATGGATACCTGCCTAATCCTTGAATTTATTTCTTTTATTCCTCCCTAGAACGTTTCAGTGCTAGAAAATCATCACTGGCGATCTACAATAGGCATGCTTCGAGAGTCACGGCTCCTTGCCCATCTGCCCAAGGAGGTGACGTAAGTGTCTGCTGGAGGAAATCCATCACTGACACCAGTCCACGGCTTCCTTCACTCTTTTTAAAAGGACAGTAGCAAAGAAAGAGGCCCAAGCTTCAGAGTAGGCTAAACTTCCTGCCCTCTCTTGGTACCAGTATGAAATCATGAGACAAAGTTATACAGCAGAAGTATTTTCGAAGACCTTGCTGCTTCTGCAGCACAGCAATGGGCACTGTCAGCGCCAGGAACACTGGGAGTCCCAGCAGGAATGCACCCTTTCAGATCCAGTGTTGGCATTTTTCGTTTTACATAGTACCAACCGAATACGGAAAGACTTAGTGATTAAAAAGCATTAAATAGAGAGAAAAATTAAGGAGTTGGTCGAGTAGCATCAAGACTGGTCAGGACATCCGTACCCTGACTGAGGAGGAGTGGTTCAGTCTTCTGAACTTCTTTATGAGTGAAGCAAAAAAAAAAAAGGCAGCAACATGAGCACCTTGGCCAAGTTGATGCTTACTTTTTACCTGCTGGTTTTGTGCAGTGTTACTCCTACCAAGGAGTGGAGATTGAGCCAATGAACAGCCTGCAATACTAAATTTTAATCACAGGTGACCTCACCAAGAATATCAACAAATTACCAGGAAGCAATAAGCTCCATATCCCTCCAGAAGTCCTTTGTGTCAGACCAACAACTTTAGTTGTACTTTAAAGGACTGTAGTCCAGTCCTTCACAACTTTAACTGCAACATCAAAAAGTTGTGGCATTCACCACCCAGCTCTGAGCAGCTGAAGTAAGATGTGAGCATTTTTCTAGATGCATCATGCTGTTGTTTTGTGTTTGTTTTACTTTCCTAGCACTTTTCAGAAGCTTTCAGAACCACCTATGCCAACAAGCATTTTTCTTCTACATTACCTATTCCTCCTGAACCCATTTAGGCAGCTAGAACAGTTGTACCCTGCAAACCCCAGCAGGGACTGACCAAAAAGATCAGACTAGATCCATAAAGAAAGAGGAAGCTTTATGCTAGCTATGATCCGTAGCAGGTTGTTTTGAGGTATTAAATGTTCAATGGTTCCATGATTGAAGGGGCTTATTTTCCCTAATTGCAGACAGGACATCGAGCAGCAGTTGGGCTCCCTGATCTTGGCAACAGACATCAACAGGCAGAATGAGTTTTTGATCCGTCTGAAATCTCACCTTGACAATCAGGATTTGAGGCTGGAGGATGCACAAGACAGACATTTTATGCTTCAGGTAACTTTAAAAAATTTTTCCACTATTTTTTATTCATTTTTCAAGTTGCAGTGTTTCCTAGTATATGTTAGAATAGCATACGATAGTGTAGCTGGACATCAGCATCTCCTTACCTATCACCAGAAATGCTTTCCTTCTGCCATCTGGCATGTCAGGCAAGCGTAAGGTGCCTCCAGTATTTCCTTATGTAATTTCCTTGAGTTAAAAGCTGTGAATGCAGCAGATACTGGAGAGTGTCAAATGCTGAGAAATTAAGATAAGCTATTAATAATTTTATTTATTTCCAGACCACTGCTTCTCTTGCCAGGTAATGCTTCGATTATAGTCTCTCTTCTGGCAAACGTCACTTCACTGGTGTTATTTTCTAGCACCATGCAGGAGAGCCCCTTTGTCGGTGTCCTTTCCAAGACAGCCTGACATCAGGTGCCCAAGCCCCGTTCCTGTGATGGATGTTCAGAAACTGCCTCTGCAGAGACAGCTGTTGCCATGGCAGCAGGTGCTTCTCTGGTGGATCTGCCCAGCTAATGAGGAAACCACGCTTTATTTAAAAATCAAATAGATTCAGACTGGTTCTTCCAGCTAAGCTGCAGTCATTAACGGGCTCTTCGGAATAAACCTCTACCTATTAAAGCAGTATTGTGATTAAAGTAGCTGCATATACAGGCTTCTCTGGAGAAGTGACATTAATTTCACTCTCAAGTACATAAAGGAATTTAAGTAATCATTATCATTTATAAAACAAACATCTACAGGTTATCACTTTGTCGAGGTTACAGGAAAGGTGACAGCTGCAAGGAAAGAAGTGCTGATCTGTTAATTCTTCACCTTCCAGCAGCGTGGGAAATGCAGTAATCTGCTTGCCTGTCCTCCATCAAACACGGTCTTCTGTCAGACTCTTGCATGGACCATGCAGGCAGGGTGATGGGCTTATTGTATTTCTGGACAGATGAGGCAAGAAAGTTGTGCAAGTGCCAAACGCAGAGGGATTACAGATCTCAACTATGGCAGAAAGTTTCTTATGTGCTTTCTTGAAGACAGGAACTAGGGCACAGACTTGGTGAGACTTACTTATTTGGTGGATTAGCTGTGGAAGAAGAAAAGAAAAAAAATCAAGAAATCTTGATTGATCAGGACAAGTTAAAGAATGGTTGAAAGGTCATTGTAATAGACAGTAACATTAAGACTAATCAGTTTAATCCAGAGAGAAAAGTGACTTGAAGACTTCCTTCTACCAGTTCACAGGTCTGAATTTATACAGGAAATATTTCTTATGTTTTCCTCCTGGGTGCCAGAATGATTTCTGACCTCTGTCAGGCTAACTGACTGTGTTCAATCTGTGAAGAAACGAGGCATGTGACATCTTGTTCCAAGGCAGTAAGAAAGACTATTACATGGTTTACTTTTCTGAAGCAGTTACTTGATTTTAAAAACCTCTTGCCCTCCTGTACTCATTCCCCTGCAAAGCACTTAAAAGTACTAGTTAATTAAGTGAAACCAAGCCAGGGGCAGTGCGGAGAACCCTGTGCTTAGCTTTGTAAACAAAAATATGCAGACATTAAGATGAAGTGTAATTGAAGTGAGATGCAAGGTCACTGACTGAGACCGCAGAGAAGTGATGCCCAGATACACCAGCTTGGCTCTTCCCTTCCTTGTCATCAGCCATGGATGCTGAGCCAGGCAGTCAGCAGGAGCCAGCCTGAGGCTTTTGTTGGCTTATTCCTTGCAAGGAAGATCCAAAACACTTTACAGGCTTGGGAGTTGGCCCTCCTCTTGTTCTTGCTATGGTAAAGTGGAGGGCTGAACGAAAGTTTTGCTTGCAGCTGAAATGCTCTTTCCTCAAAAGGCATATTTGGGTGAGGCTGAGTCTCTAAAAGGTGATGTTAGCCCTTCCTAACGTCGCTGGTGAGGCCTGGGAGTTTCATGACTGCAGATTTACTGCTGAAGCACTGCTAGACAGTAACTTCTTTTCTCAATGCTACTTTTCTTCTTCGCTTTCAGATTGCACTCAAGTGCGCTGACATTTGCAACCCTTGCCGGCTCTGGGATCTGAGCAAACAGTGGAGCGAACGGGTCTGCGAAGAATTTTACCGGCAAGGTCAGCCCCTTCACGTGCAGCAGTCCCCTTTCACCTCGGCTTTCCAGGCCTTTTTTGTGGCGAGACAGAGGTAGCATTCAGCCTACCCAGTTTGCCTTGAAATGTCCCTCAAGAGTGAGCTGTGGAAGAGATGTCTGCCTCATGTGAAAAGTGGGAAGGGGTAGAAGAGCAGCAAGTATTGCTTTGTCCTCGCTTCTCCTGCAGCAGCGTCAGGCGGGGGGGGTGGGGGTGGTTCTGCTGTGCCTCAGCACTTGAATTCAGCTGGAGAGCCCACGGCTGGATTCTTCTGTGAGACCCCTCCAGTCACTGTTAGCATTCTGAGCTGGAACGGCACCACTGCACCAAAATCCTACCACTGTCCACTGTGTTTTATCTCGCCTTTCACACTCCCACTACAACTCCGACGGGAGCCTTACCCTCGCTGTTTCCCAAATATGACACATTCTTCTGCCTACAAATGCAGAGAAAGGGTTCAAACGCACTTCCCAGCACGCTGTTGAAAGGGCCAAAGCAGGCAAGCCAAAGCTCAGCTAGGACCTATTGCAAATGTTTTCAAACCCCTGCAGAGAGCACAGTCAAGCAGGGGTTTTTTTGAAACACAGTAATTACACCATTTGGCTCCATCTGCATAGGCAAGGTCATGCTGTGCTACAACGCAGGGTGCAGCCGAGTTTAATCACTGCTAAATTCTTTGTTCAGAGCATCCCAAGAGCCGAAGGCAAGTGGTACAAATACTGGAAGAGCGCACAATGAGGTTCTCAATGCATTTAAAATTCTGCACTATAACATTAAGCCACATCTGAGCTGGTACCTGGTACAATTAGTCCATAACAAGGACAAATAGGTCAGCAAGTTAATTTTCAGCCAATGTCAGTTTAAGCTGGTGAAATGTCTTTGACTTTGATGCTTTTGAAGCAATGTAAGCAACTTGCCAGGTGGAGGTTTATTTAATCAGATGTATAGTCAAGGCATAATCAATATCCACCTCATGAGGACAGGGCCCCAGTTGTGTGATACCTCACCTTTAGTGTATTGAGGGACCATGCTGAGAAAGACAGCACTCTTTTATGAACGTAAGCTTTTTCCCCAAGATTCAAGATTTATTAGTATAACATCTAAAATATACCTCTGAAAGGGGACACTGGAGCATGTGAGACTAGTTAGAAGCGTAACGGGGAGAAAAAGAGCATTTCATGTGGGAGAATATACAGAAACTGTGGTCTGACTGTCACTAGTGGCTGCATAATCCTGATAAGTGATACAAAAAACAATATTAAATAGCATGTAGTTAGATACAATTATCACTTTTAAAATGTTAACTGTAGACCTGTCTGCCCCCTTACACACAATGCTGGGGCTTGAAACTTTTGTCACCAAGTTTAACATTTGAAAACCATAGCGCTCATGTTCTGATTTTTAAGTGTAGATGAGGCAGGTGATACCACAACTAGTGCCTTGTTTAATCTTCCTTCTGGAACGCATACAAAGTTTCAACATTTTTTTGTATCAGACATTTCAAATGCCATTTTAATAGAGACTCAGATCCTGATCGTCCAGTCATCTGGTGCATCTACACTACATCTATTAGCAAATAAAATATACAACTCAGGTATGTTTCAGGGAGTGCCTGATGCCTACAGCAGCTCCTAACATGAACCTTTCCTAGAAAAATACTTTATGTTGTTCGGGTAAGTCATGCAACTTGATTTGTTTATATAAAACTAGAACTGGCAAGAAGCAAGTTTCAGGAAAATGGCTAATGTTTAAGCAACATTAATGATCAGTTTCTCTGGTAAAGTTTTAAAATTGTTTGGAAGGTTTTCCCCAGTGTGAAAGTTCTCAGCAACTAATCCATGCGGTTACTTTTATAGTAACTTGAAACGTAAGAAAATTGACCATCGTTTAAGTTCTTATCATGCAAAGTAAAAATCTTATTTTTGTCAGTTAAATGACGTGTCAAAGACAAGAAGGTGTTGATACACTTTGGCCCAGACTGGTCAACCATTTTGAACCCAGATTACCTATAGAGGGGATGTCAGTGGAGTTTGATACTCTTTTTTTCAGTCAAAAATTTTTGGAGGGGGTAGAGGAGAAAAAGAGGACAGTCAAACTGCACATTTAGAAACATGACAAACTGTTATTTTTGTCTCAGTTTTGCTGAATTGTTCCTTTTGATTGTTTGTGGAGCTAAAAATATTTCCCTCATATTTTCTAAATATCTAATTAAAATTGAAAATATTCCCCTCGCATTTAAGAAGAAATTTTATGCTGCAGAGAGAAGAAGGGCCAGGCTTAAAAATGCACATGGTATTTTATGTGGGGCTATAGAACCTGAGTAGCACAATAGCATTTAAGTGAAAACTGTCTGTTAGTGGGGAAAAATGAGCTTTTAAACAAAAACAGTGGATTTAAAGCAAAATGTTTCTTTATGGGTTGAATACAGTGTTTTGTCTGATCTAGCACGTCTGTCTTATGGGAAGGCTTTGTGTAACCAGCCCTCACTACATCCTTAGTAGTAAATCAAATGGATGAAATATTATTGTCTGAGGGCAAGTGGCATATCTTAGCTTGCAGATAGTTAGTCTCCCTTCCCTCCCATACTGCAGACAGAAAAGGTCCTGTACCTCATGCAGTAACCAAGACTGTACCCTGGCAGTGTAGCAGAGAAGGCTCACAGTCACAAAGGATGAATGTGTTGCACTTGCAGAGTGTTAAAAAAAAAACCCACACACAATCTCATCCTTTTTCCACATTTATAACTTGACCTCCATAGCTCTTGACACATGAACACATGTTGCCTGAGCCCATGCTCTGGCCCTTACTAGTTTGTTAGTGCAGACACAGCTGCAGACTGCCAGGCTGCATCATGCTGCCCTTCAACAGCCATTTCCACAAGCACACAGTAGCAACTTGCACTACAGTACTAATGGAGACATGTTTCTTCTAAAATTTACATTCTGCAGTTTTCTAGTAGGAAGACATTTGAACAGTAAGTAAAGGAACAAGAATGTCTTAAAAATCTTTCATGTGAGAGAATGTATTCTAAAAATTAAGGTCCCCAGAACACTTAAGTGCTCAGATTTAATGTTCATTCAAAAGTCATCTTTCCTTAGAGAGATTTTTCTTTGTATGGATATTCAGTTTCTCTGATACCTTCATTTTTTGGACTTTTTTTTTAGGTATTTAGACATTTAACATGGTTGTCAATGGTGGAAGATGCCAACTGCTCAAATCCACACAGCTGCAGTCACTGTAAGAGTCTGGCATAGGTATGGAGGAGATAAAAGTGGCAGAAAACTATTTTCTCTTCTTTTTTTTTTTGCAGGTGACCTGGAACAAAAATTTGAACTGGAAGTAAGCCCCCTTTGTAATCAGCAGAAGGATACAATACCAAGCATACAGATCGGTAAGTATTAGTTTAATTCTCTTCTCTCCATGTTTATCTCTGTATGCACAGGCTCAAAGAGAAACTGTCTTCCCTTGCCCCTCCCCCCATCTAGTTGTTTTAACAATAAGAACTGCAGGTACCATAAGACTCATGATTTACATTCTAAAGAAAAATGTTCAAAAAGAAACTTATCCAAGCCAAAGAGTCAGTAGAAAGACAAAGGAGTCATTGCATAGGGAAAAAAGGGACCATTCTAATATCGGTGAGAAAAATTGCAGCCAACGTGATTAAACACTGGTTTCTTTCTAGTTTGAAATCTCCTCATAGAAGGATGCTGCCTCTCACAGATTTTACTGTTACACATACAGAGCGAGCCACATATTGTTCAAAAGCTGTGCATTTCAGAAGGAATTGATGGCTTCTTGAGGGTTTATTGTTATTTCTCGTCAGGGCTTTTGCCACTTATATTGCTGTATCCTCTCAAGGCACTCTATGGGGCAATGCAGTCATGGAATGAATTTGTTCCTCACCTGCTGTCCTTTCTGTGTTTCCCCAGGGTTCATGACGTACATCGTAGAGCCACTGTTTGAGAGGTGGGCCCAGTTTACAGGCGATACCCCCCTATCTGAAAATATGCTAAACCATCTCAGGAGGAACAAGGCCAAGTGGAGGAGCTTGCTCCACAAGCAACACAGCAGTAGTAGGAGCAATGACCACTCAGGTCAAGTGACTGGCAGCCAAGAACAGACTTTAAATAAGGAAGAGACTCCTTAGTGGCAGCTTTGCACTTTTCCTTATAGCACTGCTATCTCTGTCTTGATCACAGCAGCAAACAAAATCCCGGGGAGGTAGGAGCCTGTTGTCAAGACCCTGGAAAGGGAAGAAGCGGCAAAGCAGAAGCTGTAAGGGTCCTCATGAACAAGCCCATGGTTCTGCTGGGTTCCTTTCTGGATCTCCCTCACGTTTTTCTCCCCTCTCTTCATTCTGCACATGCCTGATGCCATTCGTCACTTCTGATCATGGACTGCCTGAATGCGGAATCCCAGTCAGCAGTACTGAAGCCGGGACAGTTACGGCTGCCACAATGCAGGGAGGGTTGCTGAGAGAACAGGGGAGATAGATAGATAGAGGCACTCTAGGTTATATATTCATTTCCCACGAGTCATACTGTGACATATGTATATAGGCCCAGAGCGCCATATGCTTTCCAGGCTGGCAGCTGGGCTGCACATTAAACCACCAGCATCTTCAGCATCTAGAGGACACTGGCTGAGTGAGACAGTGCTCGCAGAGGGCAGAGAGAGTCTGGTTATTTTAGTAATTAAAACAAAAACCTTTTTAACTTTTGTATTCTGTGCACTAAACAACAGATCTATAAACCTTGGACTGAAGTTACTCTCCGTATACACAACTCCGGTGTAACAAGGCTCATTTTGGTAATCATTTTTATGCCACTTTGGATAAAAGACAGGCATCTTCTCATTGCAAGGAACAGTATTCCCTCGCAACCAAAAGGGAAGGTGTTGTACAGTCTAAACCTTTGAAACACAAACAGATCTATCTTTTGAGTACTGTTTCAAGTAACATGTTTATATTCATATGTGTACATTTTCTGTAAATACAAAGCGCTACTGATTCCCATGCCAAAATACTGGAGTACTGTGGGATTGCTACCTGTAAAAACATTGGCACTGTGAACAGAATACTGTTAGTTTTAATACAAGAGAAAGCATTTGTAAATACGGTATAGAGTTTATTAATAGACACCATTGTTTGTGGATAAAAGCCTTAACTTTTAGCATCCTTCATCTTCTGACAGCTGCCAAAATCATATGATCACAAGATATGATTCTGAACTGCCTTTCCACTATCCAAGGTGTATCAAAGATCATTAAGGAATGAAGTCTGGCAGGATAACTTCTTGAAAACTTCAAACACATTCCATATGGGTCCGTGTTGTTAATCCATGGCACCTTGCACATTTGGTCTAGGGGAAATGCTTCACAGAGCCTGAAGTTTTAAGTCCCAAAAAACCCAAAACCCACAGCAACACCACATAATTTGACAGTTCAACCTGATTATCATTTATTCAAGAGTGTGAATTTTTATTAAATAGCTTAGTGATCTACAAAGCACGACATTGTAATAGTTCTGGAGTCCAGTTGTTTTCTCAAGTGATGTTGCAGTGTAGCAGACTTTTTCCCCACATTCCCTCCTTAGATAGCCAGCATCAAAATGCATTTGTGTTTTTCTTTTCATTAAAAAAATATTTCAACAGACTTTTAGATCAGTCTCACTCAATGAAGGAAAAAAAAGTGTTGCAGTCAGACTATTAAGAAAAATCCTCTTAACTATCATAGTAGCTGAGGGATTTTCTATGGTCTCATGTTCATGAAAGGTACATGGCCTTATCTACGCTATAAACAACCTCAGTTCAGATAGATAGTCTTTATAAAACTTCACTTAAGTTTCCATTATTTCAGTGCGATTGTATTCTCGGACACTACTGCATTGCACCAAAGTGATTGTCCCCTTCTCTGCCCCCAGAAAAATTAACTGCATTCAGGTAAAGAATAGTGTTGTTATAAACCCCCAGTACATCAAATCTGTATAGCTGTTTTCCAAAAGAACTAGCAGATATGGCCATATGAACATGTTTGGACGTGAATACCTTGGAGAGGCCAACAAAGAAAGAGCTATTTAAGTTGGCACTTGAGAAAGGTAATACTTAGTCATAGAAGTGCAAGGGGAGATATAATAGAATTTTTCTCAATTACAGGGAATATTGACTTGATTAGACAAAGTGTTCATGCTCATGAGGTCACTAATGTGTTTAAAGGAAAATAAAAAGCGTAAGTTTTAGTAAAGGATGTTTTACTCTACTAATTCATTGGACATGTATCTTCAGAGCAAGAGATGAAACCCAGTGAAGTAGGAAGGTGGAAATCACTGTGAGAACACAAAGCATCCTAAGAATGATGATTTTCTTCTCTGCTGTTTTGTAAGCTATAAGTGGTAGAAAACATTCTTCTTCCTCCCTCTTGTAAATGGGACTTGCATATTAGAAGTACCATAACAAGCAAAGAGAGAATTGTAGTAGAATAAAATTATTCCTAACTACAGGACAAAAGTGTCTTTTCAACCACCTCATGGTGGGGGCGGGAGCATCACCACTTTGCAGCTTTTTAGGTGTATCTTTCTCCTGACAGATTTAGGACAATTATTAGGACATTATGTGAGCAGTGTAATGTGCTGGTTAAGTATCCTTAAGTACATACAAAAGGATATAATTTCCCTTGTTTTGTCTTTTTACTAAGAAATGGAAGCCATTTTCCATCTAGTTCAAAGAATTTTTTTATAATGTTCTGAGGTTTAGTTAAACAAACTCAGTATCTAGCAGCATAAAAAGCTCTTGACAGATACATTGTTGAGCTGTTTCTGAGGTCCTTCCAGAAAACAGGTCCAACAGGAAAGCTTAGGTACAAATCAAGTTCTGTTACAGCTACAATAAAACCAAGACCTTTTCTGTAATTAGGGCCTACAGGGTCTATTACAAGTCTGCTCTTACCAAGTTAAAACTTCCCAACTTTGAAAAGCTGCTCTTAAAATGAACAGGTTGTGGGGTTTTTTGGTGCACCAAACATACCTGCTAGATTTCAATCACCTTGTCTAATGAAACAATGCTTCAAATTGGTTCAGGGTGGCTCCAGAAATGCTTCTGTTCTTGCATGCCAAACCCATTACACAAGTTTGGGTCTGGGCCAGTGTGCCTCAGGTGCTGTAGAGAGAAGAGCACTGAAAAGTTAGGCTCTGGCAGCAGATGCCTGGCAGCCAGATTCGCTGGGATCTGTAATGCAAAATGCTACCATTTGATTTCCCATAGAAGCAGCCAAACCGTACCTGATACAGCCAACCCAACAGCACTAGTGCTCAGTATATGCATTTGTGATATATATTGGGTATTCTCCAGTTTGGAGGACATCTCTGTACTGGGATTTCTCCCCAGGATGCCAACAGAATGCTAGACGCACAGAATAGAAAAGCATTTATGCAGACAATACAGATTTCTGTCTTGTCAGCCCTGTTAGCCACTTTACAGAAAGCCCTTGTAATTTTTTTCTTATTGGGCCAGTGCACCTAAAGGATTCTGAAGTTTTAAAACTGACTTAAGTTTTTCATATAAGAAGCAGAAAACTGCTAAAAGCAGGAGCTGAAAATGCTTTTATGCCCCACAAATACAATCAATTTGATTAAAACCTAGTTTCTTTATATGCAGATTTCATACTATCAAAGAGGCAAATTCTGTATAAATAGCAACAACAATAATAATAATAAAAGAAAGTGGTGATAAGTGAAACTTTTAAGCTGGTTAAAATAATGCATATGCATGCATTTTCATTAAGTAAAGATTTTACCTGCCTTTGGGTTTTTAAGGGTCAGCGTTCCAGACACCAGTCAAAAGGGAAAAAAAAAAGACTATTGAAAACATGTACCTTTGAAATACAGAAACAGAGAGAGGAGTAGCTGAGATTAGAGTCTATGGCAGAAAAAAAACCCACATGATCTGCAGTTCTATCTAACCTAATCTACAACATGGGTCAGTTATGCTTGTATAAACTATTGGTTTTCATGAAGAAGATCAAAGTCTCCACAAATGATCGGTGAGAAGGGTGCTACCACAGTAAACGAGATAAGCCTGTTTTCACACTGCATAGCTATCTCACTACCTTTTCCAATCTGTGGTTGAAATTTCTATTAAAAGTTTCCAACAAAACAGAGACAGAATGCACACAAGCCTTTTCAAATGGACTCTCCTCAGAAAGGCAAAACACTCAAGTGGTTATGATTTTATTTTTGGGTATCAGTCAGGGTACCAGCCATAATTTATAGCCTTATATTTTAAGGCACTCAGCTGAGTTGTCCATAAAGCATTCCCATTCCCCTCCTGATGCCACTAAGCCCTGCTTATGGCCCACAAAAATCAATACTTAAATTTGAATTGAGATGCTGGAAATCCAAAAAAGCCACTGCAAAACACAAACAAAACAAAACCCCAAGGCAAAGCTTCATGTCATGAATATGTATCCAAATTACTTTGATTGGTGCAAACTATTATTCTATTATTTGTTTCTATAATCCATCCGATATTTTAGGTACATAAAGTGCAGAGTGTAACTTTGACTTGGATGTAAAATATATTCTGCTTATCTTTGAATTCAAGATTGTATATGTCATGTTTATTGTAAAGCATTTTATATATACATATTCACATATCTTATACAACTCTATGGGCCAAACACTGGTCCCACCAACTTCATTGGGACCAAGAATCAGCCCCCATATGTGCGTATATATGCCATATGCATCATTCTGAAAGGAAGCACTAGATTGAGTGAAAATGCTGTGACTGCTATGCAGTGATGCCAAGAGACTTAACTGTATCTTTTTTAACATACTGCTGTAAGTATTCATCGTGTCAAAGAATGACAACTAATAATAAAAAAAAAAAAAATAAAAAAAAATGAAGTGTCCAAAGTTCTTTGGTACAGCCCATAGATTGAAAGCATCTCCTTAGTTTGCAGAAGACGTTCTGGTTTGACAAGGCAGCAGAAGTCCTGCTGCATCCATGCTCCCACTGCCTCTCCTTCCTACCAACAGAATAATCACTTTCCTAGTGCATTGTTTCTGAGAAGAACTTTTCTTTAAATTTACCTTAGCCTTGCTGTAGGAATTCAAATGGAGTTACCAGCAATGAAAGTCTTTCCATATTATTTCTCCTAAACATATAGTAGAAAAATTTTCAAACCCTAGGGAAAATGTTTCCCTGTTTAAGTATTTAAAGAAGAGGGAGTTGTCTTTTACTATTGTTTCAGTTCCAGTAATTAGTTCTTCTCAACATCATTGGTCAGTTTTAATCTCCGTTTTCTCATGTCTCAGTTGCAGACCACATTATACATGATATGTACAACTTGATAGAGGCTTGTGAAGTTTCATTGAAAATATGGGAAGTATTGACATTCTACACTGATAAGTATTTCTAAGTGAGAAATACTTGTCATCACTGATGGATGTTTGTTACTGCAGACACTATTCTTGACTTTGATACATTTCTAAAGAGAGAATATATGTATACCTCAAAGACTTCAGTAACAACACTCACATAGTTTGTGCACTGCAAATGCTACAGTTAACTGAATATAGGAGCTGGAAATATATTTGGTTTCAGTGTTACTTAGCCAACATTTTAAATTCACTTTCTTAAAAAAAACAAACAAACAAACAAGCAAACAAAACAACAAACCACCCTTCACAATCAAAAAGTGTTTTCATGTGTCCCCCGGATGCAAGCTGAATTGCAGAATGGATTCTAGAATGAAGTCCCCTAGAGATCTATCCTATGTATGGATGAAATTGCGATGGTTTCTCTAGAAGAAGTTTTACATAGCATTGGAAAAACACTCACAATTTTCCACAACAGATTTAGCCGTGTTATTTTCAAGTACAGCGAAGTCAATACATCTTTCTACTCTCCACAGGTACTGTCTGTATGGATACTGATGTTTAATGGTTCAAAATAAATAATGTAGACTAGCAAGTTGAAATGAATCACTGAACTGAACAGCAAAAGAAAAATTAATAATGTGGCAATGTTTTTGTCCTGGCCAAATATATTGTACTAGATTAGGAAGGGGACCTGGGTGTCATAAGAAGTTGTAACTAAAACAGAGTATTAGAATTCATACAAACAGGGATAAAAACGAGTTGTACTATTAGTTCCACCTCTCCTATCACCCAGAGATAAATTCTATGCCATCATTTTCATACTAATCACCCCTCTCTAGAAAGTGCAAGTACAAGAGTGGGAAGTGCAGAGAAGGGTGGCCAAAAACAATCTGAATCACGAAAAAACCTCCAGAAAGGAGAGACGGGGTGGGGGGGACGACTGTAGCTTCATTAGTACCACCTATTAAAAAAAAAGAAAAGAACATTTGCGCAGATTGAGAGCTTCTGTTTTCCCCAAATCAAAACACAGGTAAAACAAAGTAAAGCAATACATGTGGAAGTTGCTGCCACAAGAATACATTAGCCACATATCAAAACTTAGAAGAGTAAACATTTATATGAACAAAAAGAAAATTTATGGTTACATATAAATACTACTAAAATCATAATCTTGGAGAAAACATACTTTAAGACTTAAATCGATCTTTTGTTTAGAATGACACTTTCATGACCTACTCGTGCAGGTCAGCAGGTGTTAATTCCAAATCCAGAGTTTTCATTCGTATGTGCAGAGGATTCCTATGAGCTTAGCTCATACATAAGCATATTTATGAAAGAAATATAGTTACCAAAAAGAAAAATCTAGAGCTACACCTATACATGTATTTGATGTCCAGCCTCATTTCTATAACAGGACCTACTAACATCTGGAGACAAACTCAGGGCTAGTCACTTCAGGCAATCAAAATCCAAAGAAAATAGGAAGTACTGAAACATATGGTAGATTCAGAGAGAGATTCAACAAGAAAGATAAAATATTGATCCAAAGATCAGTCTTTTGTAACTTTCATGTTTTGTAGTGGATAAATATATTTCAATTCAATCTTTAGAAGGAGGAGGAAAAAAAGAAAAAAATATATATATTTTAGTATCATCACCTGAGACACCAAAACACAAGTGGAATTACTTTGTTTAAAATGTACTGTTTTGCTGGGATGAGGTTCCATGTGCATGGCAAGTAATTTGAGACACTGGCACTGCTCTCTATGGTATCTGTGCACAACACATTTCCCCTCAATGTAGCAAAAAAGTCAACACCACCAGTTCTACCATTACTGCAAGAAACACTGAGAAGTGGCCATTTGCACCATGTGCTTTGAAGTACCTTTTATCAGCAATAAGGCCTAATTAAGATGCACATATGTGTGTATGCTAAGTGCCCGACTCCTCCATTAAAGGCAAACCTTGCTCAACAATGCTGCTACCTGAAGACTGCCTATGTAAAGACAGACATTAAACAAACTAAGAAACATAAGTCAGTGGTGATGTTGGATGGGTACTTCAGCTACTCAAAACAGCTAAGTGACATTGGCATGTTGCATGCTTTAGGTGCATAAAGGTATATCCAAAAGTTTTAGCATAGCAATACACTTCCTACATTTATATTCATTATAGCTACAAAGATAATACACACAAATTCTATTACCTGAAGGTATTAGTGAACTAAAGTGAAGAAACCTGGATAAGCTGTGTAGTCGACTTCCTTCTGCGCTCGACCCTCACAGTTTCTCTGTGCTCGCTCTATCAGGAGTCCTGTCTGGAGTTGACTAAAACTGATTATCAAGCCCCCATTTTTACCTTCTTAGATCTCTTGCCCCCCATGCACACCAAATTACAGTCACCTTCTTGAAGATACCAACTAGTTGCAAGCAAGACAAAAAAAAAAAATTTGCTTTGGGAAAGTATGATATTTATTATGTTCCCAATCATATGTTATGTTCTTTTAAAGACTGGAGTGACTTCCCCCTCACCACCAAAAGAGAGAGGGAATTCTTCCTTCTCTGAGATGCTCTGGATTGGGCTGGAAGAGAGAAAGGTCAGACTGCAGGGTATTTCATGCAAGAAAGCCATAGCAAGAAGCTCACAGCTCACTTGGAGAACACAGGAAGTAAATAAAATTCTTGCGAGTCTTTGCTGTCACCTAGACATGAGAGGGGCCTAAGAGACTTCACTGCAACTCAGGAAAATACTGAGTCAAGGGGAAGCAAGGACTCACATGCAAGGGCACAATAAGCAGAGGAAGAGTTACTTCTAACCACCTTTTTATCTTCTGTCTTCCTTGGTCATTTCTGAGTTCTCCCTAGTTAAAACTGTGGAAATTTTAATGTAATAAAACCTGCCTTTTTGATTTTGAGAGAAACATTTTCCTGAGGATCAGGTCAGCTTCAATTCCTGTCACACTTCTTATTAAGCACATTTTACAACAGTATGAAACCTGATTTTTTTTTTTTCCAGACATTATTGTATACATTTCAGTTTCCCAGTTTTAAGGATGCATAGTTAAAAATATTATTATTCATGTTTGCTTAGGAAGGAGTGTAGGAAAAGTGTCTGGACTTCAGCTGTCTTTTGCCAAATCCTCCATCTGCCCAAGACCTAAACATACCACAATATAACCTCGCATTACCAACAGCCTGCATTTTCTTCTGAACAGTTCCACTACTTAGGCCTACGTGGTTGCAGGCTTTGAAATATAAGCCGCTAACAAAATGATCTGGCATTTTGACTATTACAGCTTAACAGTCACATTGTATGTGAAATGCTAGATAAAGGTGGAATTTATTTATTTGCACTGTGGTTACACTTTGGAGTGCTCTAGTTATAGATCAGGACCCCACAAGGGACACCAACAGTGCTCCTACCACAAGTCTTCACAACAGAAATAATTTAATAACAGATTCATGTTACTTCAAAGCTCAAGACAACAACCACCACAGATCCCATGAGAAAGCTAGATGTGAAAGGACAGCAGCTACTTTAATGACTAAGTAGCTAAACTTCTATGGTTTTGTGGAAAAAGTGAATTGATCACCTCTAAGTACCTTAAAAAACATTTTGCTGGTTTTTTTGAGGAAGAAGTTTGCTCCTTCACCAATACAACCGCAGTTCTTTCTTTCTGGTACCTCAGTGTCGTTAATTTAAAGGGAGAGCTTATATCATCACTCTTGAGTTACTTGACAGCTTCAAGTTTTGCCTGTGGGTGTTATACTGCTCCCAGGGACATCTTATATAATAATGCAGATGTCATTTTTCAGCTGGCACAGCACATCCACTAACTTAAATTTTAGAGATCCATGACAGTACAGAGTCTTAAAGCTCTGAATATCAGCAAGGAGTTTGCACATTGAAGAGTAGCACAGGCTCCTCCCTCTGTGAAACTAAAAATACGTTTGAAATGTAAAAGAAATACCTTCAGTAAGAGCTGATCTCTTTGTAAGACAACCTATGATGAATAAATTAGAAAATAAACATACTTCAAAACTTTTCTGCAGAAAATAGTGTAAGGGGGAAAGAAAGAAGGTACCATTGTCAAAAGGCGACTCAGCCAAGAAAAATGTCTTGGAAAGCTCATCTCATTCATGTATCTGAGACCTGAGCTTTTACTCCTAATAAGCCTTGATAACCTAGATATCAGAAGCCATAGGGGGTTTTTGTTGGTTTTGTTTGTTTGTTTCACTCCGTAGTTGGTTCACTGTAGAACTAGCTTTGGGTTCTACTAGAGAGAAGAAATAAGGAAGAGTCACCACTTCCCACTCTGGATGTCATGCTCATTATTGAAATGCACTATCATTTAAATTATTCTAGTTTTCACTTCCTGCTACTTAGTATTATGTTTCTCTCTGTCAGAGAAAGAGGCTTTTAGTACCATTTTTTTTGTCCTCTTCATGCATTCACAGACAAATCAGGTCACTGCAAACAATTTTCTGTTTCTGAACGAAAACAGTAGCAAAACCTATACATTTGAACAAAACTCCTTTATAGTTTTCCAACTGACTTTACTAGAACATACACTCTTTCTGAAGACCTAGCCTACTATGGCATGGTAATTATGGCTTTGTGCCATCATTCCTATCTTCATTATTTCTCTCAATGTAATTTCTGTTTTTAATTATCCACAAATTTTATCACTTATTTCATTACTAAAAATATGAAAACTGCATTAACCTAGAACCATTCTCTGTAACCCTAGAAGAAATACTTCCTTTGAGTGATTACTGTTATCTGCTAGTTAATCAGTTCTACATCCATTTAACATCTACTTTGTGGATAATATGATTGCTATATTTTAATTTACACTATTACATCTATTTTTGTCAAAATATGATTTAAAAGACCTATTTTCCAATAGTCACTTAAGATCACTCCTGTTATGTAAGTATTTTAAAATCTGCAATAGGATCCCATCATACAGATTTTTTGCCTAGAATTGATAAATTCTAATTGAGCTAGTCACCTAGTTTACCCCACTTTTCTTAAAAAGAAAACGTAGATACCACCATTTCTGAATTTCTGTATTACTCTGAGGTTTATTCGAAGTGAACATAAAAGGCCAGATACGTCCTTCAGCCAGCTTCTTTAGAATTTGCAGATTCAAATTGCTTAACCATCCTAGGCTTTTTTCCTAGCAAGCAGAGTTTAACTTATTCCTCCATTAGAGAATTATTATAGTAGTAATTAGTGATCCTGCTTTTTTAGAAGTAAATATCCACTTTTCCTAAAATCTATGCAATTCATGAAACTTTGATTCTTGTTCAAGCAACAGGACAGCAACAACTTCCCAATGAAAGTGCCAGTGACCATTACCAGGTGTGATGTTCATGATCCTCAACCGGTATCAGGTCAACTATTCACAATTATTGTGCTCAGTCAAGGTCTGGCCACATGCCATTTTCTTCAAAGCTACTGGGTCTTTACTTGTAAGGGAGACCTGTATGCTGGAGAATGAGAAAGAACTTAGTCTTATGATCAAGATGCAACAACTTTTCTCCATGGCTTTTATTATGCTAGAGAGGAGGAAAAGGGGAGCACAGGGAAGAAAAAGATTGTACAGATGTGTAGAAATAGCACAAGTTTCTGTGGGTTCCCCAGGCAACTACTAGCTTAGAGAACTGTTAACATGCTCTTCTCCTAGCAACAGCATCAAGAGCTTAACAAAGCATGAAGCAGGATCTCCTGAATTCTGTTTATTTCGCTTACCTTATGTTAATATTTCTTTCATTTGTGACCTCAAAATGCTAACTCAACATCAAAAATCATATCAGCGACAAACTAGGTTATACAGAGCAGATTATTAGGCAGACATCAGTCTCACTAGCAGCCTTTTTGTTCTAACATGCTAAATACAAAGTATACTCTTCAAATCTTAAAGAAAAGACTATGCCATTACTGAGAAATAATAAAGGGCTGAAGATTTGCTAGAAGTTTTGAAAAAAAAGACCCTGCAGAAACGTAACAAGTAAAACCTTAATATAATTCATATACATGTAGAGAGTGCCTATGAGAGGAATAGAAGACATAAGAAGCAAACATAACCAGATGAAAAACATTTGAGTGGTCAAATGGGCAGATAAGGAAGAAGGGTTGTTGACAAAGTGCACATTTCAGCTGAGTGAAATCAAAGTACAACTTTGAACTAGCTATTTTAATGATCAAAAAATACTGACTTTCAGATTACTTTCCCACTGTACATGCTGGTAAGGCAGCTCCTAACTTAACAAAATTAAACACAAGAACATTGAGCTTGACCTGTATTGAGAAACACTTCCTCACAAGCAAGAAAAGAGCATAACAAAAACAGCCTGGCTTATCAAGCCTGCCCCAGTAGATGACAGTCAAACGTGGTATATAAGTCAAGCAATACACCTACTAGAAAAAGGTAATGGAAAAAGATGACTAAATACCAGCCAGGCAAAATTAAGTAAGAAACAACAGAATACACATACAAAAAAGCAGTATTCTAAAGTAAAAACAACCTCACTTCAGTAGTAGAACACACAACCAGCCTCACTGATCCATAGTGCTATTTCAGAACTTTTAACACAGATTCCTATAGCTCTCGCTATCAAAAACCAAGACAAATACTCACAGGCTGTAAACAGTAAGGTGACAATGCATCAAACAACTGTAAGGCAACTATAACATGTGAAGAAACTAAAACCAAGCTTACTTTGAATTTCTTCCTACTCCTTCTTTATACCAGCAGCTGTTGCTCAGTGGCAACTGCCTCCCAGCAAATACAGCTGCTGCGTTACAACATAAGAACTAAAAAGTAAAACAGAGAAGCGGGAACAATCAATCTAGTTTAACTTTTTCCATGAAGTAAAATGTAGAGTACTAAAGAGGAAGCACAGATGGCAAGAAAAGAGGTCTTAAACATACAAGTTCTCCACAGTTCAAAGTGGTAAGATGGGTAAGATACTCCTTATTTTAAAATACATAGCTAAATGCTGCCTTTAGTTCCACTCTAGCAACTCTAATGAAGTCGATAGCAATGCAGAAACATTACTGAAGGTTGAACTTTGCCCAACCCTGCAAACATACCCTTACTTAGCTTTATGAATGCACCTAAACTTGTGCAAATCATTGTTTACATGTGACAAGCAAAGAACGTGTATGCTTACAGGAGCAGAGTACAGTCTTTCATCTGAAAGAAAAATGTGAATTTTTATGCCAGATGGTCACTTTGACTTTTAATCAGTACGTAACAGCATATTTTCACTTGCATAACCTAGAAGTTATTTACACAAATCCCTGCAATTCTGTGGCAATGCTTATTACGTGTGTACTGCACCACAAACAGAAATTTTCTCCAATAGCCATTTTACATGGGATATGAGAGGATATTTCTTCAGGAGAAGACTACTGCCAGATGAAGCTCTTCTCTAACTCACCACATAAAATCTTCTGTCTGTTCTCCTAGAAAAGGAAATAGCAGATTTATTTTGTGAATAATAGAATAAACTAGCCTGGTGATGACTTTTTGCTTTAAATACAGTTCACCATAACACTACTAAGTTAGAAGCATGTACCTCTACAATTTACTGAATACCACTAAGAAGATAAAAATACAAAGGGATTAAAATTTTGTTGTTAGACCTATTACTGAATAGATATTAGGGAACAGAATTCCTTTTAAATTTAAGACTTGCAACATAGATCTGGTATAACACTGCTCTCTTGTGGTTAAATACATGCAGTTCATCTGCAGAATGTATCAACTGTTTACATCAATTATTTTCAAAATTTTCAAATATATTTGAAGACTTTTTTGCTCTTTAGGGGTTTATCACAACCAGTGCCAACTCCACCCCTGCACACTGTGCTGCTACCTCTGTTACTTAAAGAGGGAATTTAGGCTCCTGCTTTTGGTTCTCTGACCTATTGAAATTAAATGCCTAAATTAGCCTGAAACAAAAAGTATGAATACTTCCATCCCAATAATAATAAAAATGAGAGTTTGAACACTCCTGCTCGCATACAGAAATAATCTGCTTTTAAAGCCTCCTTCAGCCTTCCAGGCAAATAGCCTGAATGAAAATGTAAGCAGAAATTGAAAGGTAAAGAGGACTAGAAACATAGCTGGAGCAAAAGGACCACATTGTTTTCCTTTCAACATGAAAAAAAAATATCAAATTCCCATTGCAGAAGGAGAGATCCTGCTGACAGGATTATTGGGGAAAATAATGAATATAAAAAGAAAGGCCTTTTGATTATTATAATTAGTTATTAGAACTAATTCTCTAAATAAGGAATACCGTGGAAACTAATGTCTAGCACAATCAAAAATGCCTCTCAGCTAAATAGCTAAATTATAGCTAGATAAAACACAGTAAAATTATGATATTGCAAATGAAACTACTATTTCAATCTCCTAGTACAAAACATGACATTTGAATTTAGAGAAAGAGATCCCTTTAGCAACACAGAAGGTTTTAGAATCTTCATTTTTTGCTAGGATGGCAAGTTCAAATACCTTTTGTGGGTGCTTCCATATACATCTAGATGAATTAGGATTCATATTCACAGAGAAGTGATTTTCAGTCTTTTCTTTCTAGTTCTGTTAAACACAGCCCAAGATCATTTATTTGTAACTTAATTTTGAGATGTCCTAATATAAATTAAATAACAGATATTTGGGTTAATATCAGTTATCTTATAGAAGATAGCAATTTTATTAACACGCACCCACAGATGGACAGGCAAAACATTTCTTTGCCAAAAAATTAGAGATACAAAAAGTACATTGAAAACTGATGATAAATACAATTATTTCTGTCAGTGACCGGTATTAAAAAGAGAGAAAATATTTCTGAAGCACAAGAATTTGTAAGTAATCTGGGTAAATAATACTGAAATGGACAAAGTATTTCCCAAGCTGAAGGACAGCTGTCGTCTTTAGCCTTTACCCACAATATAATTTTAGATTTTGTTAAAACTATCACAGCAGTTAGACACTGGGCTCCTAAACAAAATGTTTCAAGGTATAACTACGGAGCATGACATGCATTGTTATAAACCACTGAAACATTTACAAACAGCAAGAGAGGAAAAAGCTTGTCAAAGACCTTTCCAGATTATGCCTTTCACATTTGTCAAACTGCAAGAATCAAAAGCAGATTTATACAGATACAAGCATTAATCCACATCTTTTTTCTTTTTACATAACTCAAGTTATTCTTTCTCACAACACAAGCATTGTTTTTGATGGCTTTATAAGATTCGTTTCTTACAAAATCCCTTCTATACTTGTTATCCAATACCTGTCCCTTTTTTGCTATACTGTTTATAGTACCTTCAGCTTCATACTTCAACAAAGTATTTTGAAAAGTAATGAAAAACTTCCCTCTTTATACCTTGGTGATTTACAACAGGTATCCTATTCCTTCTAGGTAAGCTACATGCTTCCCATCCAAATCTTTGAAATTAAATTGGACAATTTAAAGTACACTGAGTTCCTCTGAGGGAAGCTCCCATATATACCGTTACGGAATTTACCTACTTCCAATTTCTCAGAGGCAGAACTACATTTGTTAATCAAGGCCGGCACACTTGCTGATGAACCAGATGGTTCAAATGTGCTTTCTTGTAATAACTTCTCTCTTCTTCTTTTTAACCTATTTCTTTTATCCCCTGAGGATTAATATTCTCTCTTAATAATTCTTATACCTTGAAAAGTGAAAATCTTGAAGGACATAGTGACCAAGAGAGTCTGACTATGCCAATACAGGAAGAAGTATTGAGACAAGAGAAGTTGGTGAAATAATTGAATGGAATAGAACTGTTTATATATATATAGTACAAAACATATGATGCTGCATGCAAGCAGTAAGGCAAGAAAGGAAAAAAAATTAGTACATTTATTGAAGAAACACTACAATAGCTTCACTATTAAGTTATACTAAATTACATAAATATTGAAAAGATATGACCAAATAAATAGGACATATCGACCTTTTGTAGATTTTATCCACAAAGATTTTCAAAACAGTTTTGCAAGGAAAAAGAAAAAAAGTATAAACTGTAAAATGAAACTGAGAAAGGATAGTATGTCTTTCAAAACACCTCCAGAGACAGATATCAGTTCAGCATTTTAAAACCTCAAACAAAATCACAAAAGCAAGCATTTTAGCAGGAGTTAGTGCCCTAATAGTTATTAATTGCATTATTAATCTTTTAACTACCATTTAGACTCTACAAAGTCAATTACGGAAGTTTACTTCACAGGCACTTTGAAAGAATTTGGTAATTAATCCTAGCCTTACACTTCAAAGAAGTTTCAAGAATAATTTTCTATATCTAGCAATAATTCTCCCAAACAAGATAAAAGGGAAATGAATGGCCCGTGGGCTGACACGTGAGGAAAAGTTTGTAAGATGGCAAGCACTAGCACTGAAAAAAACAAAAAATATAAAGCAAAATAAAATAAATACATATATATACAAACTTGCTTGGGTCTACAGTTTTGGTCACCGTCAGTTTTCAAATTCTAGAGGTTTGTCATTAAAACTTCAAGAGAAGCAGCGAGCCTTTAAAGCCGCATCAAATTTCTAAAGGAACTACTGCTGCTTACATCAGTTCTCTTCAAAAATCGTAGCACAAATACCAAGACATTCCACCTGAAGCTAGCTGCCTCTGTATATTGGGTAACTTATTCTAACTGTGATTTTGAAGTAAGTTATTAACAAATGTATGCTTTTCTTCAACATAATGTATTTATAAAAGAAATGAGATTACATAATCTTAATGTCTAAACAAACAAATAAAAGAATTATCAAGTTATTCTTCACAAATGCCAGTGAAACTATACATAAGATGGACCTTTTACATAGCAGTACATTCTCAATGCCAAATATGTTAAGTATGATGAATATACATGCCTGAGAAAGAGAAAAAAATATTCATACTGATATTGAGGACAATGCTGTTCAGAAAAAAGCTGCATATTCTCACTCAGACTTGTAATAATAAGGACTTGTATCTCAAAATAAGCAAAAGATATTAAATCAAATCATGCATTGACTGAGGGCAATATGAATGTCAAATTTTCAACTGTTTCTCTCATTACAGTGGGCTGATACTGCCCATTTTGACCAGGGAAAACTTCAGGAAGCCTTCATTTTTTCTATGTGTCTTTCAGCCAAGTCACAGCAGTATGTTAAACATTGGAACGGAATCTGCAAACTATTCAAATTTCACACAGACATGCAACAACAATGCTCTAAAGTTTCATACACAATTAATTCATAGATTATTCAGATAAACCTGGAAGGTAATACAGATGTAGCCAAAGTCAGTATCAGTATGAAAAACGTATTGCTAGATCACATGGGGATCTTTTCTGAGAACCTGGTACAGGAATCAGGATCACAAATGTCTCCCAGATACCTACAATCACTGGCAAACAGATTTCAGATAAAGCAGAAGTGAAATCTGCCTGCAGACTTTACCAACATGGGAACACCAGTTGCTTCAGTAGTCTTGCCTGCAGGACTTTCTTTTCCCAAGGATTCTGATCAGTAACTCAAGGCTAACTTGTTTAGCAGGATCCCTTTGTCAGTTAGGCTTTTGCAAGAACCCCATATATGATTTTACTATTTAGGTAGGACTAAAGAACAATGTAATTAATTCCTGAAAAGAGGAACAGACTGAGGGCAGAGAATACTTTTACATACTCTCTGCTGTGCCCTTCCCCAAAACCTGTACCTTCACATACAGAGAGATGGCAAATTATATATTAATTGTCCCTCACAAGCAGCGAGTATTTGGACAGGTCTGGTATATTATAGGAATTTGTCAGCAAACAGTGATATTCTGACAGTTCAGGTAATTGTATTTATTGGTCTCCTTGTAATGGGAATCTCACTGATAGAGAACTCAAATTTCTTCGGATCTCCTAGGGAAAAAATCCTTAAGAGTGCTTTTAAGCAACCACGTTGTACTTTTCCTTCTCAAAATATTTGAAACATTTATTCTTGCTTTATCAGTTGAAAAACTGGATATACTGTACACATTTCTTAGTCTTTCTAGTGGAAAAAGAAAAGCAGCTTTCATTCCAGAGACCGCCCCAGCAACTCCTGAAGGAAGACATCCTGCCCAAAAATTCATCAGGTGGTAGAATAGATTTTCCAGAATTCTTCAGTGACAAGAATAAGGCAGCACAACATTTCACAAGATTGTTCCAGCAGACCAATAGAGTGCCCATGTTCCTGAGTCTCTTCCTCCCCCACATCACTACCACATCTCAGAGTTGCATTGTCACTGAGCAATTCAGTCAGGGACCTTATGTAAACAAGATTTGTAGGTACAGAGCATGGATTCTAGGTGGGCGCAGATAACCTCAGGTTGCTTCCAAGTTGTTGATACAGATGTCTTAGTCAGAGAAAATAAGATGACAAAGCCACGTTTCCTTTAGTACTGAAGTGGAGAAAAATCTCTGCAATGGGTGCTAATCTTTTCATTACTAAACATCACTGTCCGAGTTTTGCAACTTCTTAGTACTGAAAACTGTCAGATGTTACCAGATGCCACCCACAGACTTCTCAAGGTATACCAGGGCTCAATGCCTAACCTAATTTACATCTGGAACTACATAAAATGAAGAATCTGTTCTTGTAACACATGTAGGTGGTACATAGTTGAAAAAAGTCACATGGCCCATAACTTACTCTTTTCCCTAAGGATGCCAATCAGCTATACAAACTGCGTTACTGCACAATTCCCATCAGACTGACACAAAAATCAGAGATAGTGCTGTACTGGGTTTGCGTGGCAAGGTTTTGGTAGTGGGGGTGTTACAGGGGTGGCTTCTGTGAGAAGCTGCTGGAAGCTTCCCCCATGTCCGACAAAGCCAATGCCAGCCGGCTCCAAGACAGACCCGCCGCTGGCCGAGGCTGAGCCCATCAGCAACGGCAGTTGCGCCTCTGGGACAACATATTTAAGAAGGAAAAAAAGTTGCAGGGGGCACAGAAACAGCAGCTGGAGAGAGGAGTGAGAACATGCGAGAGAAACAACTCTGCAGACCCCCAGGTCAGTGCAGAAGGAGGGCAGGAGATGCTCCAGGCACCGGTGCAGAGATTCCCCCGCAGCCCATGGTGAAGACCATGGTGAGGCAGGCTGTCCCCCCACAGCCCATGGAGGTCCACAAGGGAGCAGATAGCCACCTGCAACCCGGGGAGGACCCCACACTGGAGCAGGGGAACGCCTGAAGTAGGCTGTGACCCCGTGGGAACCCTGTGCTGGAGCAGGCTCCTCGTAGGACCTGTGGCCCCACGGAGAGAGGAGCCCACGTTGGAGCAGGTTTTCTGGCAGGACTTGTGACCCCGCGGGGGACCAAAGCTGGAGCAGTTTGTGCCTGAAGGACTGCAATCCATGGAAGGGACCCACGCTGGAGCATTTTGTGAAGAACTGCAGCCTGTGGGAAGGACCCACATTGGAGAAGTTCACGGAGAACTGTCTCCCATGGGAGGGACCCCACACTAGAGCAGGGGATGAGTGAGGAATCCTCCCTCTGAGGAGGAAGGAGCGGCAGAAACAACGTGTGATGAACTGACCGCAACCCCCATTCCCCATGCCCCTGCGCTGCTGGGGTAGAAGGAGGGAGAGAATCCGGGAGGTGAAGTTGTGCCTGGAAAGAGCGAGGGGTTAGTGGAAGGTGTTTTGAGATTTGGTTTTATTTCTCATTACCCTACTCTGGTTGATTGGCAATAAATTAATTTTCCCCAAGTTGAGTCTGTTTTGCCCGTGACGGTAACTGGTTGAGTGATTTCTCCCTGTCCTTATCTTGACCCACAAGCCTTTTGTCATTTATTCTCTCCCCTGTCCAGCTGAAGGGGGGGGTGATAGAACAGCTTTGGTGGGCACCTGGCGTCCAGCCAGGGTCAACCCACCACAAGTGCCCAACAACCTGAAGGGACACACAGCTCACTAACATTTGCAGATGCTTCTGAAGTCTGACACTAGATCCTTGGTTTAAGAGGTACTAAGAAACTTCTGAGAGAGTTCCCTTCCAATATGAAAAGACACTTTCAAATTCAAAATTCCCACGGCAAAATGCTCCTGTATGCCAAACTTGTAGTTAAATGATGAACTTGGGAGAGAACAGAAAAAACATACAAAAGGAGTCCAAAACAATAGTTCTGAAGAGAAGAAACTGCTGGTCACATAAAGCAATTGAAGTAGGAGAGAGAGACTACCGTATTCAGGGCTTTGCAGATTAGTTCAGTCTCTCACAGCAAGAATTCCACCTTCACGTTTGTCAGTCACAACAGAATGGCCACAAACCCTGACCCCCCTGGATCTATGAATGCTCAGATAACACAGGAGATAACTTGCTCCACCTCATCACACTACAGATACTGAGCAAAAGGGAGCTGATTCATAGGCTTTGTGCTCACCAAGACTCACTGCCCTTCATATCCTCTTCTGCAGGCACTGCATGGACTTCCCTCACCATTGCTCCCTGCTGCCCCTGCAAATATCAGAGACCACAGCAGCAGACAAAAAACAATGGGGAGCTTCGATAGAAGAGTGCAAGATTGCTAAGCACAAGGCCAAGCTGGCTATTCTGTATGGATTTCATAGCAGTTGTCAAGTTTAGATAGAGAATGAGGCAAATGCGTATTTTGAAAGCGGAGCAAAAGGGAAGGTCAAACTGTTATGGACCAAGAGAGGAATGGGAGAATGTGATAAAGTTCAGTAATCGCTCAATTCAGAAAAAAATATCTAGAAGACATAACTTTAGAAGCATAAAATTGCAAGTCACTTAAGCTCCAGTTTTAGACAAAAGACAACTTTTAAAACAGAAGTATGGGATTTGCACAGTAATTTCTTACAATTGTGCAAATAAGACTCAGCAGTAAGAGGGAATCCATCTGCCAGTCTACTCTGTGTAAGTGAGCAGGGAAATATGGGGGACACAGGACATACAAGGGACATATTCAACAGTCTAATTGATAGGATTTTCGTTTTATACATCAGGATCATTAGACAAAAGAAGAAGTGAAGGCAGCTATTGTAAGCAGGGGATCACAATAAATTTGCAAATAAGGGACTCTTAAGTACTCTGGCAGGAAAAATGTAAGCTCTATTTTAATTAATTTCATATCATACAATTTTTTTAAGAAGTTGTCTAATATGGTCAGTTCTTAACAAAAAAGTTAGTCTGCAACACAAAATGCCACTACCACAAGACATCTATGATATAACAGAAATTTTATTTTATAAACTCTTGTGAGCAAAACAGACTTCATATGGAGAAGCTAAGGAGGGATTTAATGTTTAACATGGAATTTAGACTATGTGCTAGCAGATCTCTCTACAAGGTCTTTTTTATCTCAGAACACAACTCCCCCATAATATGGGCATTTAACAGACAGCCTGTAGTTTACTTACAGCACAACAAGGCTTCACAAACATAAAAGTTCATCTACTGACCCAAAATAAATTAGAATATTGTTTGCACATGGAATATGGAGTTGCATCAGCAAACTGCAAGGAAAACTGAGGCAACTATACCATTCTAATAAAACAGTATTAGCTACCATTATATACAGTCAGTTGTATGTAAACACATTTTCAAGAAGTTTACCCTTCCTCGTTATTTACACTGAAATGCAAACAGACCACACACCTCAGCTGCCACACCAATAATTATTTTTCTTTCACACGCACTTCTTTCCTGCATTGCCCAGGTTTCAAACACACTGCTCCATAGCAATAAAAGCCTTCTTTTGGTTCTGTGCTTTTCATAAAAGCATTACATCCACAAGTTTGGCTGCTGGGAAACTAGGGAGAAGGAAGAGGCAATTTTACAAAGCCTGCAACACCTGAACTTCAATAGCATAGGAGAGACATGTTCTAGAACACATTACAGCACCTTACAGCAGTTTCAAAGTAGACCTGCCACTTGTACACACTATGAAGTTTCCTCAGAAGTCTCCATCAGTTAAATAAGAGCTCTCACTTTCCACGTTGGTACCTGTTTAACTTCATCAGTTCTTATAAGGCTAGATTTTGCATTTGCCTTCAGACTGCAACGTCCAACCTGGGAAGCAGGGACACAGTTAAAACAAAATTATACCCAAGACAATTGAATGAGAAGACGTTTACAATAAAGACAGTTTGGAAAAGTTCTTGCACTTCTCTCAACATAGGAAGAATAAAATGGTAAGCCTGTGCAATTCCTTTAAGTACATTTATTCTTCAAAACACGCAAGGGTAAACTAGAGGCTTGACTACAAGCTCTTAAGATCATTCTGCTTTAACCAGAAAAAGCCTATCTTTCTGTATCTACTTCTGAATATGCTGGCCTTAAGCAGTCTCTCTTCCAGCACTTTATAATGCAGCTGTTAGATCCTGGAACGAAAGCTCTTCTATAGACAAGCTGTTTCAGGATCTGACTTTGATCTTTGTGTCTAGAATCAGGTATGTCAGCTATGCAATGCAATGGTCTGCAGCATTCAAAATACAAGCCTGGCTGTTTTTAACAAGTTTCTTATTTTTCCTTTGGGGAAAAAAAAAAGTCAACAGGGAAATTTATTAAGACAGCACCAGAGCTGTTGACTCATTATGGTCTGTAAAATATATGCTACATTTCACTTGCAGAATCATTGCGGCAACTGAAATTAAAAAAAATTTTAAAATCATTATAGCTGGAAATAGAAACACATACCTTGGCTTTCCTTATGTTTTCCGCCAAGCAGCTAGCCACGCATATAAGCGGTTAACTTCAAAGAATGTCTGGATTGCCATGATATGTTTTGCATTATTATTTCCCTCCATTAGGCTAACAAATGCCACAGTCCAAATCTTTATCTCACTCTTAAGATACAAAGATAGAATTGCTAAGCAGAGACACAGTTTAAATTACTGCCACCTCTTTCTATCCATCTCATCTAAGCAGTTCTGAGGTTTGTGGAGGTCTTTAACAAATAACCAACAGTACTACTGGACTGTTGAAGTAGCTTGCACAGGCTGCTCTACAGAAACCAGCGCTCAGAACTACCTTAGCCTGATTGCTCTGTCTACCATGCTTTTCTTGTTCATAGCAAAACCTGTATTTTTCATGGGCTTTGCAACAGCATTCAGAATCACATCTCATTCTGGTTCAAAATGCAAACTGTGTGAAAATGATGCTACCTCAAAGAAAACTATTACAGCCAGTGCTTTAATTTTAATTTCTGAACACATAGCACATGTTAGTCAGACTTCTCTGTACCTTCCCAGCATCTTTATTTGTAAAATTAGTCAATAAGTAGTTAGTATTACCAACTAGAAACACGGTTTCTAGTCATGGATACTTGCCAGTTACCATCAAGCAGATGTCCATAGTTCAATCAACTATGAGATGAATTTTTAAAGTCTAAGTTTTTCCTCTTGGCACATCTAGAAGTGTATTTACCAGTCTAAATCCACCCAAAATAATTAATTTTTGAGATTCTCTGCCTTGATTATACTTGAAAAAAGAAACTGCCTAGGCTGATGGCTTAAAAACATTGTAGGAAGTTGTAGACTCATGAAAACCCTGCAACTATCCACGAAAACAGCAGTCACTTCAAGAACATAAAAACAAATTCTTATATAAAAACATACCAGTGGGATCTCTGGACTAGAAAACGGGGAGCTATCAAAAGATCGGTTTTCTTTGTCCACAGAATCATCATCTTCACCATTTTTATATGCAAATTTCTGCTTTAGTGCATGAGTTAGTAGAGCAACTGGATCCCAATCTGAACTTTGCCTCTTTTGGGGTCTAGAAAGAGGAGTACCTCCAGGTGACCTACAAAAAAAAGAAAATTATTGTCTCCTGCCCCTAATCCTGTACTGAGTGATCCACAATCTAGAGATGCAACTTCTGTATACACCCTATCCTAATAAATCCCTGATTACACAAATAATGCTGCTAATGTTATTTGACAGCAATTCACCAGATCAGACTAATACAAGTACACCCAACAACTTGTCAGATAGATTCTTAGCTTGAAAATACAACTTGATGCTGTTCAATAAAGAAAAATGGCAGTAAATCAACACAAAGTATTAAAACACTGCAAATAAATAATGAGCTAAAAAAAGACAAAATGTGCAGTTTTCATAGCAGGTCTCATTTATAAGTTATATTAAGGTATGTTAGTGGGAGATTCCCATTAACGTATTTCATAACCATTGTGAACATAATTGGATTTAAACTTCATTAATTTTAAGTTCAGAACAGCATACCTTTACTATGGTCTCAAGAGAAAGAACAAACTTACAAAATTCCTCAGAGCAATTATATTCAAAGAAAACAGCCACTTTGTTCAAGTAAAATATGCAGCCAGGTGACCATAAAGCACCATTTATAAACCACACTTGTTTCATTATAAAAAAAAAAAATTATCATCGGATTGGGCACAAAGGCTTCAAAGACAGTTTTTCCCTCCAAGTGAGCACCTGAGCATCCAAATATGAAAATTTCACAGGCAAAAATTACAAAGCAGAGTTTGTATTTTAATTTAGAAAAACTGTTCTTATCAAATTAAAAATCAAAAGATAGCAAAGAGATGTAAGATCAAAACAGCACCTGCACCCCAAACCCTAACATAAATGTGGAAGTTAGTGACTAGCTCAAGAAAAGAAATCATAAGACTTCCTAACCATCAAGATATTGGGGAAAAAAAATTCTAGAGGTATTCCAACTTCTGTTAGTAAAGTGCTATCTCCAGGCCAATGAATTGTACCTATTAATGCACACTGACAGCACTGAGTTGAAAGTCTGGCAGTTACAGTTGATGTCATTTAACACGAAACCTGAAAGGACTGAGTTCACCCTTCCTATAAAACCAAGCTGTTAGAGCACTTCCCCTACATGCAGGCTAGTGTTCGGGTGGTAGCAACTGGGATCTTCAGGCTCTCAACTTCTGAGAACAGAGGTCTTCCCTTTACAGTGCACACATTAACTGTCAGAATGCTGCCTGAAAGATTATAGCAATTTTGATCATCATTACTACCTCCAACAATATAAATTCATTATTCACTTAAGTTCTACCTTCAGAAGACAGGTAGATGCCTAAATCCAGAAAGGCATTTTGGATGCACGGCTACCACTTACTACTAATTACGCCTCTGCTCAACATGATGGTTGCTAAAACTGTCAACCCGAACATTTCACTTCCTTCACTCACTGTACATGGAATTATATGGAAGAAAACATATATAAGGAAACACACAGGTTTATCTAAGTGCACTTTATATTTGCTTTATTTACTGTGAAAATGTCATCAAAAGTGTAACGATATGCTTTAGAGTTGCATATAGATAATTTGCCCAACACTTGTGCTAGTTATTTTCAGGGATAAAGCTCACAGTTAAGGAAATGCTGAAGTAAGAATGCATTAAGTTTTGGTAAGTGACATTCTTCCCACATCAAGAGCTCCACATATTCATTACAGACTCAGTTGTTCTTATATACTTTTTCAACTCAAGAAGTTCAGAAAAGACATCTGACAACCTCTATTACACCTAGCATAGCAAAGCAACAGTGACCTGAAGAGGTATTGCAGTCTTTAGTAATGCATTTTTGTAACGTGTCAACTGTGCTGACCATCAAACCAGTACACCATTAAAAATACCTATAATCTAACTGCAATATTGAATCAAATTTATGAAACATTTTCAATAAAAGATACAGCATGTATTTTCTTTAACGCTACAAAGCTAGGACCAGGATACTTTGGGTATGCTAACAGTAGTTCTCCAATGTCTCCCCAAGGATTTGTCTTTTCACAGTGAATCCAAAAACTTAATTTGTTCAGATCAGTTTTCTGTGACTGTGTAGGCAACTTTGTAAGAAATCTCCAAATAGCAATACAGACACCAACCTGAGATTTGTATACTAAAGCAAGAGACTAGTTTTAAATGATGTGATACTCAGCATGTGTTAAATGCATCCAAAAGCCATGTCACAAGTATCTTACATTCCAAGCTGTGAACTTAGAAGTTGCCAACTTAAGTTTGTCAGCAGCTGTTCATTAAATGATGTTTCACATTGGTGTTCTTTGGTGCTACTTAAGTGCTGTGATGCTTATGTAGTCTTGGCTTACTCAGATACACATTCAATTCAACCTACCTCTCAATAGCTCGCAACTGAACTTTGTTTAGGTCTTTCAAAACATCCATCATACTAGGAATGTTCTTTGTGCTCTGGTGATCAGCACTATCACCTGCAGTTGAACCACTGTTTCTTGCTGCACGACGTCGTTTTATAAGTTCAATTGCTGAATTACTAGCATCAACACCAGATGGTAGACCAGAAGGAAGTGGAGGAGGCGAGGGAATTACAAAGTGATTGTGAGAGATGGACAATGGAGTAGAAGTCATGGCTGGCACTGGGTAAAATCCATCTGGAGTGCTGAATGTTTTAAAGGCTTCTGGATGCAGTTATAAAAGAAAAATAGTGATTTTATTTTTAGTCAGTATACCTTCAATTAACAATATTAAGCAACATACAGGATGACTCAGCTTTAAGTCAAGATAACACAGCCCTCTTAAAGCACTTTCTTACATACCTCATGCATTATACCACAGAAGAATTATACTTAAAACAAGGAACATTTTTTTATTTCAAAGCCACAGATTGAGAACTCATGGAATAATGAATCTGAGGTGTCTTATGCTGCTCTGATTTTCCCCATTTGCATCTTCAATCTAAGCACTAGATAAATCAGCAAAGCAGCACTCCAACAGCAAAGCAGCATGCTACTACATACAGTTCATTCTCAATGGTCTGAAGGTTAGAATAACCCACATGAAGCAAAAGCAAAGGTAACCACAAAACACGTAAAAAGGACTACAATACAGAGCACAACGGAGAAGAGACAAAAGAAGAGCCAACAGAACAGCTAACTGTATCACAGAGGTGCCTCACAATAGCACACACAGGTAACTACCTCGCACCAGCCCAAGTATTTCAACAACCACAGTGGAGTTAGTCTGCAAGTAAGACAATCAAGACCTCAAAACTTTTAAAGGGGAAGAAAAAGTCACAAGATAGTTGGTCTCCAGTATGAACTTCTACCTTCGATACTCCAGTGACACACCTATTTGCTGCATTTGTTTTTGTTAGTGCCTGAATCTGACTTAGAATACTTTTTCTATCCATTATTTTGATAACTTGTCAGAAACAGCACAAAACCCCAACAGGATTAATTAATAGTCTATAACTTTTTTAAACAGTAACTGGTAGCCTATAGATAGTGTTGTTAGTAAGCTCCTTCACAAACATGGAAATGAGTATAAAGATCACTTAGAATCAACTGCATTCGAAATTGGTAAGCAGGCCACAAAATACACCGGGGTGGGGGGGGTTGGCGGGGGAATAGAAGAGGTGCCAAATACTAAAGAGAGAAACAAAATACTATATTCTATACATTTAGTGGGTGTAACTTCAGTTAGAGAAGTTCTCTATCAATATCAGACACGGCAAGCTGTGAACAGGAACTCTACAGCAAAAAAAGGAAAACTGGTTTGCTTCAAACCAGAAGGGCTTACGTGATGGTATGCTTCCCAATGTCTGTGCTGAAACAATTGCAGCAATCTGAGCACGAAGAAAGGTTAGCTCATCTTCAAGCGCAGAAATTTTCTGGAGTGCTGCTTGATCAAAATGACTGTCTTTTTGTGTACTGTGTTTTGGAACACCTTGTGTTGAATCTGCAGATGGATGTAGGTCACGATAAGCTGTACTTTTTTCTTTTATCCATAATTCAGTCCTAGAAAGCAACAAAACACAGTTTCAAAAGGCTGAGCCAACATTGGAAATCTCAAAACTTACTCACTCTCTGCTCAAGCAAGTTATCATCATTCAGCAAGACATAAATTTGCAAACTATTTAAAAAAAAACTTTAAACTTTTAACGACTCATAACCTTAAAAATATTTTAAGCCTCCCTTTGCTCAAGTACAATGCAGATTCTTAAAAAGGCATCATAAAAAATAGTCAGATAATTTACTCAGCAATAGATCATAAGGTCATAATGCAGGATTGAGCTGTTATTATTCAAAAACTATTAGACTGACACCATAAAGGTGTATCTCCCTCCTCCCTACCTAAAACAGTAGATATGAAAGGCAGGGAGAGTCAAATAATAGTGATCTCCTAATTAGGCTTCACACATTTTAGTAATTTATCAAACTCTACAAGGTAAACGCAGCAAGCAGCAAAGCAGTTACAATCTTTCAGAACATATATTGGAGAATAATCATAAATTTTAATACACACTTAGAGTAAGAACCTCATCTTCTGTAAGCTACATATGAACACAGACTGCATTAGAAAATTGTGCTACAAGTCTCAGGTTTTAATTTTAAAAATTGTTTCAAGTCTGTGCCTGCAGAAATCACTTTAAAATGAGTGCAAACAAATTATTAAACAAAGGAAGAGATTAAATTTACTTTCTTTATTTATTCAAGATGTACTAAGTTTTGACTGAAACAAACCCAGACCTTTTCCCTTATATTAATCATCCTTTTACTTCAAATCAGACCTGCAGCATTGCTTTCTGATTTGCCAAAACCCCTTGCTTTTCACACTAGCTTAGAAGAAAAAGATATTAATTAAAATACTTGTTCTTGAAAAACATCCCACAGAACCAGGAGAGAAGGAGGAGGAAGAAGAAAGAATGAAAACAACAAAAGAATGAACTTTTATGGCTCTGTGAATCAGACTGACTGAAGAACAGTACAAGCAAAACAAAACAGGCCACAGTTCCTTTTAACAATATTCTTACTCTTCCAGTATTTTACAGCTGCTGCAAAAAAACCTTCCATAATTCAACAGTAACAACCCAGGAATCACAAGGTGAAGCACAGCTTTCTCAAAACTTCTCTAACAAAAAGTGTGTTATTTCACCAGATTCTTGCAGTTTTGTTACCAGCAAACAACACAAAGATCACAGACAAACAGGTGCTAATATGAAGTAGAATTACATTGTCCGATACAGATGTAGTACAAGACAATATGAATGTCCAAATTTTAATCTTGGTTCTGGCTGAGTCATGCTCTGATTTTGAACAGATCCTTTAGAGTAACAGTAAGCCAACTTTCTATTTCTTCTCTAGTCAGGGGCAGAAAAGACTTGTATACTATTTTAGTCTGCAAATTCCTGGATAATTTGTCATTTCACAGTACTACTTTATAATTGTAAAAATATTTTCCTTTAGCACTCTGTAAAAGCTAGAAAGAATTATAAAAACTATATTAAAGATAATTTTTTTAAAATAAATAAATTATATTTTTCTTTCCATCAAAGCAACCATCAAGGTTTACACACATAGCACTGCAGTAATCAATGTCAAAAAGAGACATTAAAGTATTTTTTCTTATTCTCACCTTTATAACATTTAACAAAATGCTTGTAAACTAAAATGATAAGAATAATCTTATTGTATGTTGCAATATGCAAGTTCTCCTTAAACTCCCTCTCTCACAAAGTACTTTGTGAATGAAAACAAACTACCAGTAATGCATCTGATACACTATTACGTGGAAAAAAGAGCATACTCAATTTCGGAAATCTTTCAGCTAAGAATACTATACGTAGTAAGAATTCCCAGGTAAGCAGGAACTGCTTCCCTAAAAAAACCAAAATGTTTCTAGGGTTGGTTTAGCTGGAACCCTGAAAGGGCTAGGAAAAAAAAAAGAAAAAAAAACCCAAACACAAAACCACACAACACAAAGAAGAGAAGAGATAAGTTACTTTTATTACTCCTTTTTATGCATATATTCTACTTTTACGTACCGAAGCCTAGTAAATGCTTGTCCTTCATCATTTGCCACCCACAGGACATCAGCAAGTGATGGAGCTACAGGCATTGGAGCGGTGCTTTGCTCATTATTACCCAGCGGACCTGGGTCTTGAACAAGCTAAAAACAAACAAACAAACAAAAAGTATGAAGAGAAAGCAGATTCAGCGCATACTAAAGCTTCTGCCTTGGCAAAAGGAACTTTTAAACAGTGCTGTAAGCAAGTTGAAAACAGTGAGCATAAGGGATGCAACACAAGAGTTACACAAGCTAAGAAGAACAGGAAAGCTATTACTACGTTAAGAAACTAGAAAACTTATTGAAGCATATGTATAACAATATATCACTTACTTTAAAATAAGGTCTGGGGTAGGGCTCTAAGGAAAGAATTGTCCCAAGTCTACGGACAACACTTCGAGTAGATCCATATTCCTTTTTTTGGCAAACAGATACAACCTAAAAATCAGAATACCTTTTAATTTGAGAAGCAAAATCAAAGCCCTCTGTTCTTACAATCAAAGTTATTAAATAATTTAGAGTTATATGTTATTAAATGTAATGCAGTTAGATTAACCTAATTTTACAATGCTCTTCTCAAGCTGAAAGTCCAAAGAGGCCTGCACTGTTTTAACAGACTGTTTCCAAAACACTGCCAAGGTACAGCCTGTACCCAGTATATTTTAGAGCAGCACAAAGGCCAACAATGAATGTAGCAGCTATATCAAGTAGCTAGCAATGTTCTGAGATACTGACAAAAGAAAAAGCACGTATTTGAGTAAACATCTGCATCTATATAAGTCTTGGGGCAAAAAAAAAATCAGTAAAGAATCGAAACAAGTTTAATGTACCTTGACCTGATACTTCCTTATGACAGCATATAACTGCTGGAAACGCCTTCTCGACGAGACTGCTGAAGGAAGACACATTCTGATTGTATGACTGATACTGCTGCCAAATACAAGAGCTTCCAAAAATACGGCCTGTAAAAAAACAAACAAACAACAAAAAAACCACAAACAAACAAAAAAACCAAACCAAACCAGGAACTCCCTTCAGTAAAACCAGAAAATAACCAGGATAACTCAAACTACTACTCCTAGAGATAATTTAGCAGTTTCACATAAACAAACCCAGAACTTCCTCAGAACTAAAGTTCCAGCAGCGCCTCGCTATTGACGCCCATCACTGAAGAGCTGCCCAGAAACTCAGGCTCTAACACCGGATCCTGACACTGCACTACTTAACCTTTTCAGTTTCCCATACGACACCTTTCCCAGGTCTCTGAAAACACAGGATTAACTGCAACTTGGGAATCATCATCTAGCTTTTCATTTAAAACAGCTGAAGTTGCTAATTATTTTTCCCCCCCCTGTTCAGAGAAGAAAGAACCACTTGAATGGCTGTATCGGAACACTGACCCCACCAAATCCCACGTGCGGGCAGCGCGTCTCATTATACCAATCGGGCTTTCCCATACCGACAAACCCAACCGCACCCAAGGAGCAAAGCCCGTCCTACCGCAAGCGTGCGGCGGCTCCGCGCCGAGGACCCTTCCTCCCCGTCACCGCAACGCCT